GGCGGAAACAATAACCCTAACTAATTTTTATTTTTGTTTGACAATCCTAATGTACACACACACACAAAATATTTATATATAAATTTCGATTGTACAACTAAGTGAATAAATTCTCCGAAGAGAGACTCTTCACTGAACTATTTGTTCTTATATTCAAAGCTATATCAGTTAACACCTCACTAAATAAATGTACATATAATGTGGCTAAGCAGGGTTCGTGACGAACAGCTGAAACAGCATGTTCATTTGCTGATATTGCAAGCACCTACCATAATATCTTCAAAACCAATGTATATAAACCTGATTTCACGCTTAAACAATATTATTTAGGTAAATAAACTTAACCTGGATTCGTTGGAGAATTTTATCAGTGACAGAATAAATGCTGTCTTTTATAGAATAACTTTATTTGTGAAAGCAAACACTGAAACTGATATATTGTCATTTAGCGATGACGTTTCGAGATTAGGTTATTCATCCTTATCATATGACGGTGCTCATGTGGCTTTCATATTCCGTTTTACTCTGTCCATTATTTCCTCTCCTTTGATTTTCTGCAGCAAATTAAACTTTCCACATCTTTGGTATTTGTGCTGTGTCATTCTCACTGCAAGTGTTTCCTGTAGATTCGATGAACAAAGATTTAGTGATCGACCTGTGCTTCTGTCTCACCCTATTGTGTGCTGGTGTGTTCTTGCATGCATCGCAAATGACGGATTTTTCTCTCAGTTAGCGATCAGTTCGCCGTCACACTTAAAATCAGTCAAATACTTGTAGACCAACACTTGAAGATTGAGTTATCTTGTCTAATATGGCTGTATAGCACATAGAGCTTGATTTTGGATGAGATGTTGCGGGTGTGAACACCAACCTAATTCCTACTTCATTTGCAATTTTGCATAGAGTTTCGAATTTCCGAAAAAGACGCCTAACTGACAGAAAAGCTTATCATGTGGAATTTATGCAAGAACAAACCTTCACACAGCAGAATGGGACAGAACCGAAATTTCGAAAAGAAATGTGATTAAGTGAAGGAAAAGAGGCTGGTCACTGAATCTTCGTTTATCGAATCTACAGAAAACACTTTCAGTGAGAGTGACGCAGTAAAAATACCAAAGATATGGGAGATTTAATTTGAAATCAAATCAAAGGATAGGAAACAAGGGAACTGTGGAAACGAAATGTGGAGGCTATGTGAGTACCTTGATGTGACAGTGATGAATGAATTGTTTACAAAACGTTGTCCTTAAATAATATCGTGTCGCAGGGGATTTTCTTAAATAAAAATTATTCTATTATGGAATTATACTATACCATAATGCCCGAATTCTATGAATGTATCATAGATAGTTCATATCTTCTTTTCAACGCTTTCGTGCGAACTGATTCACGAAAGGAATACCGAAAGCCTAATGAAGATGACAGCAACTTCTATATTGAAGAGTTATCAGAGTGACTATACCACAAGCTACTGTGGACACATTATCATTCAACGATAAATTAAACTGAGATTTCAAAAGATTAACGTCAACAAAATGCGTCCTTGCCATTTTGTAGTGATCAGCTTAAGCCTAATTACCAATAGTTGATTCATTTTTCAATGCGAAAATAAGTCCTAGTAACAGGCTTACAGTATGCTGAAGAATTGCCTCACCCGTTTCTGTACTCAAAACATTTATACACAAAACTACTTGAGTAGAAAATAATCATTTGTAGTACATTTTCCCCACAGAGATCCTACCAGCAAATTCAACAATGTCCACTCAACACTGAAGGTGTGAAGGTTTGATTGAAATATGCATGTTCTTTCTTGTACATGTATAAGCTTGTTCGTTTGATGTGAAATATGACATGCGATAATTCAACACCTGTATCTAAATCTTGAATATTCCTGGAAAACAGCTAACACATTTATGTTTCACAGCTTTTCTCCGTTCAGAAGTGTGTTCAGACTTTTGAATGTAAGTAAGTATATTCCACGTCAGAGATAAATCTTATTTGACACATTTCTATATTTGATGTGTCCTTGAGTATGCTCTCTGTATAACTCTTTACGTGGTCATATTGCCTCTCACTTTGGGCGATTATATGGCATATTCCTTTTATGAAGTGGCGTCACCTGCTTTATCCGGTGGCTGTTTGGGCTTTCCAATAAATAGGTCAAAAACTCCCAGCATTATTTCATAAAAATCTAAAAATAAACGTTTAACTTTTGAACTTACTGCTTAATTCAACGCATTACATTGTGTAGATATCAGTATCAGACAACTTTTTTTGATAAAAGTGCAGCAAATGTAACGCTGTTGAAGAATATATAATACGACGGATAATATGCACTCCAGAAAAGTAATTATAGAGCAAAATTTCATTTCAAAAGCTTACAAAAAACATAATTTGTCATTAAACCAACATAGCAGCGTGCTATGGTACTACAATTAACAAGGATAGGCAACAAAGCCACTCCTCACTTTCCCCTTATGTTCAGTGGCTTCAACCTAGAAGTTTTCTGTTACCGTGTTCATCGTTACTAGCTCGTCAGTGAACTACATACAAAACATGAAAAGTGTGACAGCAACTTCAAGAGAGCTAAATGCTGCTATAGTAAACTGACTTGCAGATTGGCAGTCCATTGGTTACATGAGAAACTCTGTCTAGTAGGAGAGACTTCCTTAATGTCCACATTCATTTGTAGTTTTAAGGTTTGTCTGTAATTTCAACTTCATTCTAGATGACTGTTGTGTATTTCTTCAAAGGTTACATGCATTTCGTGTTATTGTGAACTTCAAAATAAGCAAGAAGAACAGTTACAACAGCCTAATGTGACACTGATATATTTCGTTCGTTCTTCTCAACTATTCACGGTCAAGGCAAAATCCAAGCCAGAGGCAATCAGACGCCATCACAAAAATCCAGTGAATGGAGAAAGCATGATACTCTCACCACACACCAGTTTTGGTGTCGTTAAAATGAATACGGATAAATAGTCACAGTAAATCAACTCAACTTTAGATGAACATTCAAAATTTGAATCTGATGGTAGAGAGGAAGATATATTACTAGGTCAACATAAAAGTAGGTGATGGAAATTTCCCGACCTGTTAGAGCTTCAGTGAGTAAACTAGTCGCTCTAGGATGAATTGCTATTTAAAGATGTTCACGCACTGTTTGCTGTACCAAATGAGGTACACATGTTTAATATCATAGCAACACTTGAACATTCTTATCGAATTTATGACTACATTTCTTGTGACCTGCTTATTATTTACAAGAGTTCTTTCAGAATGCACCATGAAAATTGCATTAAAATTGTGATATATTTTCTCTATCTTGAGAGGAAATCAGACGTATTTCACAGATGTGCTGCAATGTATGGAAGGATGGATGGAATTTCAATAAGCAGCACGTAGGCACCGATTTGTAGGTGACTTTAAAGCGAGCTCGATAACGGCACAAAATATCAGAAGAAAAATCCACGTTTATGAAATAATATTGCATTGATATATTATAAGCATAAAGTTAATGGGTTATTGAAATTAATGGTTACTTGGTGATACAGTTAAAGTCCGCTGCTACAAATTATTAATATAATCTACAGAAGTCTTCACTGCTGGAGTCGTGTCTACTAGTAGAAGCTGTGCACCAGCTGTAGAATAGTCTTTGGATGAGGTTGAGAAATTCCTCCAAAATCCAAAGGATACAACATGGTTAGTAGTGAAACAAGCAGACAGTGTGGACCAGTGAGAATACGAAGCTTCCAGCAGCCCACTGTATTTTAGATTGTACTTTTTACAATGAATAATTTCAAACAAAAGTCATGTACACAATGTTTCCATTTTTAACGTCTAACAAAAAAACTGTACAATCATACTTTTCTAGACTCCACAGATGAATAGAAAGTGTGAAACAGACAGGAAATACTACAGATTGCTAGGCACTGTGGAAAGTAGAATAAATTACATTTAGATGACGTTAGAATCTAAAACAGCCATCTGTAGAAGTATATAAAGGTGTGCATTCAAAGCAAAGAGTCTTGAAATAGATTGTACCTTCGCTTGAAAATGAACTCCTTCTCAAGTACACAAAATCTCTATGTAAAATACATTTCCAATTTAACCTATTTTATATCATCAGTGTAGGAGATATTTCTTGAACACATGAAATTCTGGGAGTACTGGACAGCTGTTTCGTCCTAGTTTGGGACTCTTCATCAGTACGCACCCACCGGGATTCGAACCCAGGACCTTCTGGTTTACAAGGCGAGCTCGTGTACCGTAACCAGTAGGGTGCAGAAGGTCGGGTGTGAGGACAAATACTCGCCGAAGACATTGGCTAGGGGTCGCGCTATGTCGTGAATTGGCAGAAGTTAGAATTCATGGGCCATTGGATCGGGTCCCAGTGGCTTAATGGTCTACGAGCTCGCTAGCCTTGTAACCAGAAGGTCCTGGGTTCGAACCCCGGTGGGTGTTTACTGCTGAAGAGCCCCAAACTAGGACGAAACGACTGTCCAGTACTCCCAGCTGGTTTTCCAATGGTTCTCTAACTAATGTCAGCTCATGATGAAAATCTTATAACCAATCAAATCCCTTCAAACAAGCACTTGAACATGAAATTCTCTTTGTTCAGTCTCATTTTACACCCCTTGGTGGATGTTTATACTTACTTTCAATGTATGATATAACACATTGAACTTACGTCAACGAAGCAACTGTTACAGGATAACTGAGACTTTCATACAGTTATGCGGCCTTTCCAGTGTAAATTTTCACATATGTAGTTTTACTTTAGAACAGCCTAGTTGGCTGCTAGTGAACAATGAATGATGTTAATAAAAAAATATCTCCTTAAATTTGATTGGCTCATCAATATGTGTTCCTACCATAGCTACCAGGTCAAGTGAACTGAAAATATTATATAAAGGCACAAAATAAGATGGCCGGATAAAGAAGGAGAAATAAAAACACAAAATTCTTTTCTACGCTCTTTCAGTTTTCTTCTTGAAAATGCAGTCGCACTTGAAATGCTTAACAGTTATTCTACTTACCACTTCTATGAGTAAGTTTTCAAGTTATCATTGAAATCACACATGAATTTTTGTTGTTCATTATTAGTTTTGTGTATATCTGGAGAGTCAGTGGAAACATGTGAAGTCAATTCGGGGTGAGTCGGCCAGTTTTCAGGAATATTTTTTTATTACAAGGAGTTTTATGTTGCTAGTAGAAGTATCGTGTTCATGAATGATTATACCTTTTAAATTACGTCTTACAACTCTCTCTCTCTCTGTCTTCGTTTCACTGGATGTTCTTCCTAACAGTATTCCCCACCTTTTTATATGGTTATTCATAATTTGAGGGAGTAGTTTTTCAAATGTCAGTGTTTGTAATTACTGGCCCCTTTTTCCAAGTGAACATGTACTGTTCATATCTCTTCTCTTCACTGGAGTTCATTATTCATACACTAATGAAGGACAGCGTTATAATTGAGTATCACTCAGTGAACCAACTAGGTGAATAATATTCATTTTTCTGAAGGGATGGATAACAATCCCTTTAAAACAATTAGTCCCTTTTATAAATTTGCATAGTGTTATCGGAAGACGGAGATTATCTGAAAAAGTGATGTGATGTATGTGGTGGTGTATTTGCTCAATACATTTCAAAGAATCTAATCCCTCACACACATTTACTTGTCAAGTCAATTTGTATGAATAATAAAGGCTGATTAAAATACACAAAATGACAAAAAGGGCTTCAGAATAATAAGAATAATTGACACCATGTTTGGTTATCTAATCAGATAGGGATTATTCTTATTATTTCCTTTAATTCCTTGAGGAACATAGGGCTTCAGCCACACGTCTCCATTGCGTTCGGTTCTCTGCTAGAGTCTTCACCTGGCTCCAAGTCTGCCCACACGCCTTCATCTCCTCTTCTCATGACCTCCTCCAAGTCACCCACCCTTGCACTGACGACCAACTCGCCGCCTCCCATTCTGTCGGGTTCCACTCGAGCAATGGCTTGTCTAGTGATGTCACTTGATGGTTTGTTTCCTCAGAGTATGGCCAGCCAGTCCATCTCCATTTCTTCCTGCCTATCTGTTTCACAATCGGTTCCTGCTGTGTTGGTTCGCTCCAGAGATCCATGTTGCTGATTTTTTCCGGCCTGCCGTTTGATCTTGAGTACTGAGCGAAGACAACTGTTAATGAAGGTGTGTAGTTTGTTTGAGATGCTCTTTATGACGCGCAGTGCAAGTCTCTGATCCGTATAGTAGCACTGACTGACTTCACATTGGAGTTGGAAATCCGGATCTTATTTTTGATGCTGAGTGTTGTTGACCTCCACACAGACTTGAGAGTAATGAAAGCTTGTCTTGCTTTTCCGATTCTTGCTTTGATATCCTCGGGTACTTTGCCTTCTTTCCACACCTTCTCCAGTAGTGGCATCATCAAGTCCGCTGTTGTCTCTGGATCCATTTTCAATGCTTCTGCGGGGATTCCATCTGGTCCTGCTGCTTTTCCAGCTTTTAGCATCTTGATTGCCTTCAGGACTTCTGATTTCGTCGAGGGGTTGGTGTTCACTGGTAGCTCTGTCTCCGTTGTTGGTATTGTTGGGCGCGTTGTAGGTGGTGGTCAATTTAGGAGTCTTTTGAAGTGTTCAGCCCAGTGTTTCCTTTGATCCACTTCTTTGGTGAGTGACTTTCCATTGTCATTCTTCACCGGCTTAATTTGTGTCAAACTTTTGCCCGATAGGTACCTAGTTGTTTGGTAGAGTGTTGCGAGGTCTCCTTTGCCTGCAGCTTGTTCTGCCTCACTTGCCATGGTTTCATAGTACTTTCTTTTGTCTTCTCTGGCACTCTTCTTTACTCTTTTGTTCAGTGTCTTGTAGCTTGCATTCAAATCCTGTTTTTGTTGCTCATCGGTGCACTGGATAATCTTTTGTCTCACCATCCCTCTCTCTTCTATTAGTCTCCAAGTGTCCGTAGTGAGTCACTGTTTGTCCTGTCTCTTCTTTCTGCCTAGAACTTCCATGCAGGTTTGACTCCACACTGTTTTCAAGTTGTTCCAGTGCTTTTCGACGCTGACCTCTTCGCCAGTGTTGATTTGTGTCTCGGCTTTGTCCTTTATGCTTGCAGTGAAGATGTCCTTTGTGTCCTGGTCCTTCAGTTTTTGAGTGTTGAACTTGGCTTGTGGTCTATCTGCAGCCCCTGATTCTCTGAAAGCTTTTAATTTGATTTGGATTGTCCCTTGTACTAGATAGTGGTCTGAGCCAATGTCTGCTCCTCTTCTTACTTTTGTGTCCAGTAAGCTGCGCCTCCACTTCCTTGAGATTGAGATGAAGTCGATTTGGTTTTTGGTTCGCCCATCTGGTGACACTCATGTAGCCTTGTGGATATCCTTGTGTTTGTATACGCTGCCACGAATCACTAGTTCATTGAAGGCGCAGAAGTCGGCGAAGAGTTCTCCGTTTTCATTCATTCCTCCGAGAGCTTCTCTACCCATGATGAGTTCCCTTCCTGTGTTGTTTGATCCCAGTTTGGCGTTCATGTCTCCCATTAGTATTTTAATGTCGCCAACTGGAGTATTGTCCATTGTTGCCTGTAGTTGTCTGTAGGGATTACCAAGGTATAAAAATCATCTGGTATTACTCACAACCTACCTTGGTAATCCTTATCTAATTAGATAGCCAAACATGGTGTCAATTATTCTTATTATTCTTAAATCTTCAAGAATTAATTTATGAGGATTCTGTTTGTTTCAAGTTAGGCCATGGATTGATACCAATTTGAGAACCATTGAGAACTAAGGAGTACTAGGCAGCTGTTTCGCACCAGTATGGGACTCATCGGCAGTATCCACCCCCATTAAATCCTTTCTGTCACTTTGTATAATTTAATCGGCCTTTATTTCTCGCATACATCGAATTGACAAGTAAATGTGTGAGGAATCAGATCATTTGAAATATATTGCTCAATCACACCGCATACATCCCATTTTTCAGATAATTTCCATCTTCTACTAACAATATCCAAATGATGAGCTTACCACTGGTTACTTATATGACAGTATGAAATATAACGGCAAGCTATTTATCCTAAGGTGTAATTGCCAGTGAGAACTTACCAACAGTTACGTTTGCAAAAGATTCTTAGATATATCCTCAGTGTATTTAGCCATCATTTGCAAGTCTGCACAGAAAAGTAGAGAGTAGAGTGAAGCTTCTAGGAGAATGTCTTGTAAAGAGAATGATCGGCATCTTTTGCCGCACATTACACTCAATTTTTACGGATGTTGAGGTAATCGGCATAGACTGAACTCATCCTGTTCTTTGTATTTTGAGAAATTAAGTGACCATTCTCACAAATGTGTAAACTATACGTTTCCTTTCATCATAAAATTAAGATTCAAAGAGTAATTAACATTTACAATCTAGTAATGCAAAATTATCGAATTATTTCGTCTAGTGATTCAGTTCACTTTTATGTGGTGTAGTGCGAGAGAGAGATGTGTCAGTTTGAGACTTTATCTATTGTTAGTGTAAGATTTAGTGACTGGGTAATAATAGCTTTACCCATCAATGAGAAATGACACATTGTTATAGAATAACCAGTATAATCAATATTTCTTTCTAGGAACTGTATTCACGGGCAGTGTATTAACGGTGTATGCGTATGTGAAACATGTTGGACAGGTGAAAACTGTGGAGAAAGATGTAAGTTATGATTGGATTTGACTCATTTGTTTTTGGGGTCGAACGATGATAGTTAGAATTTATGCATACTGATGTCCAATGATTTATTAAGTCGTAGTTATTTAAGAACACATTGTTTTCTGAGGGCATAGTGATAACAGCACTCTAATCTGATATCCTATTTGAATTTCGTTTGTCGAAAGCTTTAGGGATTACATCGTGGGAGGGATCAGTGTAATGAGTTCGCTTCTGATAGTCATCAAGTAAGATCCATCTGTGTTTGTAGCTGTGATATCATTTTATGTTCCATAACTAATCTAGAATAGACTGGGTTATTTTTTAATAATATTCAGTCTAAATCGACAATCTAAGTGGTGTTTTCAAGACTGAAAGTTGCTTTTTTGACGTGAATTAATTTTGTGAAACTCATAAGGCTGAAGAAGTGTGGTAGGTAATCTAACCGACTGCAACCTTGTCGTAGTGTCTATCTGTAATTCATTACAGCCTTGAAGAAATCTCTATGGGATTGAAATGAAAATATATGCAATAATCTACTAATGTCACTAGAATTTATTGAAAAATATTTATGCCTTATTCCAGTGACACAGGAGGTTACTCAGTGCATCACAGATTGTAAATACCGTCCTCACAATGTGTTGAACCTGTCAGTGACTTTATTTTGCACCGAACACTTGATAGTAATGAAACACTGTGATAATAGTATTCAATTAAGTGTTGACAGTGTGCATCGGTGGCACAGTGGTTAGGATGCTCGCCGACCATGCACATGGTCTGGGGTTCGATCCTCAGCCGACGCACTCCTTTACCTCGTTAAGCCAGAAATAAAGCTGGTAAAGGGGAAAGGTTGGGCGTGAGACTAGCAACCTCATCCTGTAAAAATAAACACTGATACAGAAACTTCAAGCCTCTAGCTTGAAGCCCTATTTTCCACTGGGAACGTGAAGGAATAAAAAAAAGTGTTGACAGTGACCTTGCTGAAGGTTACTAGTCGCTTGTGTAGAGGTAAAGTCAAAGGTGAATTTTATGAGACGATTTGGGTCAATCAGGAATCATAAGCAGAGTGAAAACAACTCACTGTGAAGAGCATTCTCTAAAATTATGTTTCACTCAGACGGCTTAGTTTCCTGTCATTGAAAGCATTTCACTCGAGACATCCAGTTCTTGTGACCATTGCATAAATTCAGAAATCATTTACCCCTTTGATTATGAGAATAACAGAAGCAAATAAACACCTGCTAACTAAAGCTACTTTGTAAAAATATTTTGAACAAATGAAATTTGAAATATGAAAGTGTATGCTTCATATTTAAACAAATATGCTTAGGCTATGTTGCTTCTTCCTTTAATATACGAGAACGCACCTTATTTGAGTTAATAACTTCTATACTATCTTCAATGTATTTATCAGTCTGCGTTTCCAGCTTTCACTGTGGTATTCCTAATTTACAATAAATATTCTTTTCTCACTTTAGTATCTAGAAAACCTACATTCATTCAGAGGCAATTCAAATTCGAAAAGAAGCTCTCAGATATAATTGATGGAGGTGTGATTGGCCGTCTACCATTAAGTGATGAAAACTCTTCTATAGCAACATGTGGAAATGTTCACTTTGAAATCGTGTCTAATGCAAGCCAATTGCCTATATATATTGACTCCAAGAGTGGTATTTTGTACTCCAACAATTTATTGGAGAAAACACAAATTTATCGTACAGTTGAATTTAATGTGACTATTCGAGAGGACAATAACCATTTGGGAGTATTTGATGAGGCAGTTGTCAGGGTGTCAGTTTACGATAGTCATTCTGATGAAGAAGTAGAAAGGAGAGTTTCTCGAGTTAAGAGGGTATGTTTTGAATATTTAACTCTTTATCTCTCCCTCTCTCTCTCTTTTAATCTCTGACTGTACCTATCTCATCTTCAAGTTTTTTACTGATCAAAATAGTTTGAGTAGAAACGTATTGCTCTGAGATACTCAGTAGGAACCATTTATTTTTCTAAACTTATGCTTGTGATGACACACTGATTTATCGTAGCATGAACTTATTCCAGAAACGCACTGGTGACTCGATAAATTATCATTGCTATATACAGGCATACTAGCACACATTGCCGAAACCTGTCGCCAACTCCCCTCCTACATGCATATAAAAATGTAATAAAAGAATGGGGGAACATAGCAAGTCAGTTGAGCATACTTCACAAAATTATCAGTTCGCTGAGCAAGGTTAACTACTGCTTTTTTGAGATAAACAAAACAATGCTCCTGTTTAAATTCTTTCTAATTGCCATCAATTCACTTGATTTATGTGTGCTAATTGACGTCTAAATAATCTGTCTCTGGACATATTTCATGACTAGGATGCATCTTGATGCTCTAGAACTAGGCCTTATTAAATTGATAACTTCTTCCTAACCACAAAGTGATTAGCATCACTTTTATGTTCTGCCCTGAAGACTATACTCTTTTTTCAATTGAATCACAATAGACTTAACTCTAATACACATAACTTAACAAATAAATTCTAAATGTAGACCTGTTATTATTTATTATTATTCCCTTGGGTTCCGAGTAGAACATGAGACTTCAAAAACACAACTCCAATTTGTTCCATTTTCTGTTATCCTAATCAGCTGGGCTCATGATCTCACACAGTCGGTGATCTACTCCTCACACGATCTCCTCCACGTTACCCTGGCACTGACAACCCACTCGTCGCTTCCCGTTGGGATTCCACTCGAGAAGTGGTCTGCATTGCGCGCCATGTCATTCGACGGTCTCATCGGTGTATGCCCATCCCCATCCTACTCCATTTTCCCCTACTTATTTGGTAAGCAATCGGCTCGTGCTCGTTTCGTTTGTTCCCAGACAGAGTCTCTCGTTGCTAATTCTTTTTGGCCGGCTGGCTGGCTGGCCATTCGATCTTCATTGTGGAGCCAGCTGGCGAAGGAGAAAGATGTTAAAAAAAGTCTGTAACTTGTTGGAAATCCTACTCAAGACACGCAGTGCAAGCTTCCGAACCATATAGAAGCGCTGACTGACTGACTTCACATTTGTGTTGAAAAGAATCCGAATCTCGTTGTTTATGCTGAGGCGGAGTGCATAAGATTTGCAAACTGGTATCAGATTGATGAAGACGTATCTTGCATTTCCACTTCTGGCTGGCTGGTTTCAACATCTTCATTCATTCCGACTACCTGTGGTTGAAACAATGCTGCATAGCTGAACAAGTGAGGGACGTGATCTCCTTCTAACCAATTCTATTGATGGTGATTGGTGCTTGTTGTTGCTGTTGCTGGTTGGTTTGTTGGTTATCTTCATCACCTCCGGCTTCTCTATGTTCACTTGAAGTTAGGTCTTCGCTGCTAGCCTCTTCTACCAGTTTGTCGGTTTTCAATTGCAAGTCTTCAAGTTTGCGTGACATTTAACATAAATCGTCGATGTGTGAAATCCAGGTCTCCTAGAGTCTTCTTATCGGTGAGTACAGTGTATTCCTTCCTTCTCAGTCCGCATGCACAGTCTGATGCACGATCCAGTCCAGCACAACTAAGAATGTCATAGACGATAGTGGGCAGCCTCTTTCGTCTTACTCCTGTGTTCGCCTCGAAAGCTTCGCTGAATTTTCCGTAGTGGATCACCTCGCGCGTATAGATGTCTCATGGTGATGTAAGATGGTGTAAGATTAAGGGATGATAAGAGTGGGATTTAAAAGTCTAGGGAAAGGGTGGTCTTAACATCCCCAGTTGGTTAGTCATTAATTAACCAATGGAGGAAACGTCTTTTGAATGTCTGGTTCAGGCTTATTAGATCGAATGCTTGTTGCCTTAGCAGTATGTAGTAGACGAATACCAAGTCCATATGAAAGATTCGGTGGGATGCAATGAATCACCTTGCATGCTTTCGTCTTCTATACTGTGATCACTATCAACTAAATATAACAAACGAAGCTAAGGATGGTTTTTGTCTGTGCTTTGTCAAACCACGTTGGGAGATGTTTAGTAACACATTGGATAAGCTATCTAGTAGTATGCCCAACATAACTGTCTCCTCAGGAGCATTTGAACCAATGAATATACATAGATGTGGCAAAACTATCTAGCTTATCTTTCGTTCGAGTCCACATCATTCGTCGACTAGAGAATGACAAACATAGGTTTGCTGCGTAAAATATTCAGTTTTAGACATTTATAACTCACTATATCATGGAACACCAAAGAAGTTAGTCAGGATTCTGGGAACTTTGCACAACAAAATTGTGCGATATAGGATTAGTGATGTCTTTAACTTTATCTCTAAAATATCTGAGGCTAACATTAGTAATAAACTTATGTTGTCCACGGAGGTATCATCACTATTTACGAATGTACCGATTGTAGAAAAGTCGGACTAGGTATTCCAAGGTATTTCACTCAACAAGTTAAACTGTGAAGCTGAATGGATGTGTAAGATTTCATGTATTCCTGCTTGACGAGAAACAGCACTGTGGGATTGGATACTCAGCTAAAATACAATACCAGTAACAATGTTGGAACCAAATATTAACAAAGACAGAAAACATTAGTCTGAAGTGAGAAGCGGACAGTTCTACTTTACAGTTCCTAATCATGATAAACGGCTTAGTATATATATATATATATCAGTAAATAAAAAGAATAAATTAGAGCAAATAATTTTCAATATCACAGCAAACGTTGACATCTATATAAGCGATGAAATGTAAATTATTGAGAGAGTGAATTTCTTAATCTCTGATTTCAATTCATCGTTTAGTTATGCTTTTTCGTGTGTAACATTCAAATGTTGTGATAGGAAAGAGTGGAAGGCCAAATGTGAATAACTTGCACAAAACCTTATAACTAGAATGTCATTATGGAGAATATTAAGGTGTATATGGTAACAGAAAATGATTAGCTTAGTTAGCAAGATCAGCAACAGCTGCACGACAATGCTGCATGCCAAGTAATCCACAACGGGAAACTTACGGAATCCTTCGAAGTGAGGACAGGAGTAAGACAAGGCTGGCTGACTGCCTACTATCGCCAATGATTTTCCTGATTGCAGTAGACTGGATAATGCGACAAATAGCGGACAATGAGGAAACAGGCATAAAATGGACTCACACAAAACGAGAACTTGGAGGATCTGGACTTCGCCGATGATATATGTCTGATTTCCCACAAACTGGAAGATACGCAAGTGAGAAGCAACAAGTTGGCAGAAGAAGCATCCAGAGAAGATACGACTTCAGGTGAACATAGAGAAAACAGAGGTGATGAAGATTCCTGGCCAACCACACCAACAGCAACAACAACAACAGACAACAATCAGAATAAATGGGAGGAACCTGAAAGAAACAACCTCTTTTACCTACATAACTTGGAAGCATCGTTTCAACTACAGGCGAAACTGACGAGGATATCAAAGCAAGGTAAGCTTTCACTACTCTCAAGCCTGTGTGGAGGTCAACAGACAGCACTCAGCATGAAAAATAAGATCCGGATTTTCAACTCCAATGTGAAGTCAGTCAGTGCTACTATACGGATCAGAGACTTGGCCAGCGCGTCATAAAGAGCATCTCAAACAAACTACACACCTTCATTAACAGTTGTCTTCGCTCAATACTACTCAAGATCAGATGGCCGACCAGAGTTGATCAGCAACAGAGATCTCTGGCAATGAGCGAACCAACACAGCAGGAACCGATTGTGAAACAAATAGGCAGGAAGAAATGGAGATGGATTGGCTGGCCATACTCTGAGGAAACCATCAAGTGAGTGACATCACTAGACAAGCCATCGCTCATGTGGAACCTGAAATGGAAGCGGCGAGTTGGTCGTCAGTGCAAGGGTGACTTGGAGGAGGTCATGTGAAGAGGAGATGAAAACGTGTGGGCAGACTTGGAGCCAGGTGAAGACTCTAGTAGAGAACCGAACGCAATGGAGACGTGTGGCTGAAGCCCTATGTTCCTCTAGGAATTAAAGGAAACAATAATAATAATCATAATAATCAGCAACAGAAGAGATTTGAATGTCCAAATGACGCTATTATCAATTCTTTAACTTTACGAAAAAAACAGTCATACGATTACACCGTTGCAAATAGCCAAACATCTCACAATATATGAGCAGGTTCCTAAATCTAACTCAGTCAAGGTATTAATTACGCCTTACTTTTTTGTCAAACTGATTCTATTTTCCACGTAAATATTATGCGATTGTTTAAAAAATATGAGGTGAGATTACTGAGTGGGAATACTGTTACATCCGAAAGCTTCCATAAACTAAAATCTTTTGATTAATACAGATATTTATCTGAGCCCATGTCATGAGTGTCAGGTTCAATACTTCTCAAATACAGTTGGATTTCTGTTTTTTTTTATTGTAAAATAAAAGTTGTTGGTAGCCAGTTCAAAGGAAGTAGAGTTGAAATGGGTGAAATGTATTTCTCACGCTGTAAAGAGTGAATGATGTGGTTTGACAAATAGTAAATAATGCAAGTATCACTTACACACACTGTGTGCTTGTTAAATATGTGAATTTTCTTCTCTTTTCCAGGCTGTTATAACAGCACCAACTGTAGGTAGTATCAAATTTTACAGATCAAACACTAAGAAGGACGCTAGTTATTGTCTCTACGACACCTGGTTTGTTGACTTAGATATCACCTTACCGCCTGGAAATCACAATCCAATTATCAATGTTTATGGACCTGCTATCACTGGATCATACAGGGGATATATTACATATTTGTTCAGTAATTTCAGTGGTGTAAATGTAGTGAACAACTCTACAATGCAGTTCACTGACCTTACATATATTGGTGGACGTTCATTGGTAAGTACATGAATGTTAACTATTAAATGTGATTATATCTATCCTGCTAAATCATACACTTTTGATTTGATTTCTAAAGTTTACCAACTCAACTCGAAGGAAAACAGACCAAAACCAAACGACATTTCTTCCTGTTCTTTGTTGAATGGTCACTGTCAGTTGAATACAGACTCGTGTTTCATCCTATTTGCAGCTCATCAGACGGTTATGTATGCATCTCATTGAGTTTTGGTGTTCCACTAAGACTGGGATCGAAAAAATATCGTTTTAAAAGACAAACTGTCATACAGCGGGCTGTTAATCTTCTAGACGCATGTCTTCTGTAAAAGAGATCGATAGCTTTATTCACCTTTTTAAAATTCCTATTAGTTGATTTCTCTGGACCAAAATGCTCGATTTCTGTCAGTAAATATTCTACCTGACAACTTCTTCCTTAAGTGAAACATCTGGATATTTCTACTATTCACTCAGAGAGAAATCATTCGTCTTCCTCTTTTAGGCATATATGGAGATGGTTCGTTGTGCGATGGGGGGGGGGAATAAAGGGAACAACTGCTTTCAATAACTTGCTCCAAGAGAAAAGGAAAATGCTATAACTAGTTTCAAGGCATTCTTTAAGATATCCAAGTGTAACAATAATAATATTAGTAATCACTTTATTCCACAACAATAACAATTTACAGCATGGAATTTTCAGCGTTTCTTTTACATATTGCAATGGTTAAGCTCTGTTTATAATTATAAAAATGTATAAAATTTTAAAATATTGATAGTTAATAGGAAAAAATAAAACCCCAACAAAATCACACCATTGCTAGGTCATAGTGAATAATAAATAAATAATATAACAAATAACACATGCAATAATATGCATCATTTCATTTTATAGTTTAGTTAATGATTTAAAAGTTGTAAAAGTTCTTTACTGATATTTGTCTCTTCACACAATACTCGTGCCAAATAAGGTACGTTCGAATTTGTATATTTTGTAGTACGAGCATAAATGTTTATGAAATTTCTTCTGGTCTTACCCGAAGAGATACAAGGAAACAATTGCGAATAAAGAGGATGTTCACTATCAGACAAGATAACTTTAGCTAAGTGTTTACAAGAATTCATATGCCTATTGACAACAGTGTTGGTTAGTTGAGTCAAAGGGATAGCACTGACCCTACATACAGCCTTCAATGTTCTTCGTAGTATTATATGGTCTTTCTTGAGTAGCCCAGGGAAGAATAATGGAGGACAATAAAGAATGATGGACAAAACACATGAATTAATAAATTGTATAAGAAGAGGTTGGGTTATACCTGAGGGCCAATCAGAATGATGTGAAAGTGAATATTTTAGTTGTGGTGAAGTAAAATTAGAAGAATGTTGGCTGTGCATTAGAATGATTATGAGTTGCATAATCACGATTCTGTTTCATGTACACATGAAATATGAATGTGTGAGCCGTCTTGTTTTATCTTTAGTAAGCGCTTATTTTGTAATGGTTATTTATATTCATGAATAATCCCCATCCACGCATTAATGAAGACAAATAAGTAGTTCAGTGAAGAGTCTCTTCTCAGCGAATTTATTCACACTTAGCTGTACAACCGCAAATATATATGGATTATTTTGTATGCGTGTGTACATTAAGTTTGTCAAACAAAAATACAATTGATTATGGTTATTTTAACAAAAAGGGAGGTGAGAATTAGTAAGTTTTGGATGGAGTTACGTAATGCAAAAACGGTCAAGAAAATTGGGTGTTAATGAAACTAGGTTAGTAACAAAGGTGATGACAGTTGTTAAAATGGAATACGCAATAATATGGATAGTTCGATGATTGAGTTGTACTCAGGATACATATAGAAACAAAGTAGAGAATACAAAATTACGTCAGAGTTCTAAATGAATACAAAATTTTAAGCAATTAGAGAAACAGGAAAACAAACAAAATGAAGTCATCAAAAATCAACAAAGTTGTTACCATGATAGTAGAAATGGTTGAGTAATTCTCTTTTGTATGCACAGCTACGCTTTTTCTGTGTGAATAGCCAGAGCTTCAGCAATACAAAGAAAACGAAACCGTATTGGCTTTGGTAGGTTATTCTTAACTCTGTAGATTTCTTTGAAGAAGGCATTTATTGAGATGGGATGTTCAGAGCTATCCGGGTGTTCAGTTATCGCACTCTCTATAGCACCACTTTTACTTTTTCGCAACCATGCTGGATAGTGTGCTTGAGTCCTCTTGGATAGGATGCGCGTCGAACGACCGATGTACCTTGCTCCACAATCGCAGGTAAACTGATACTTGCAGATAGAAGTGGTTAGATGAAGGATCTTGTCCTTAAGGCTTCTGCAGATCAATGGGCAACTGTAGAACACTATTCTTAGCGTTGTTGCAAGGAGTGTTCTTCTCAGAGATGATGCAATCTTTCTCTTGAGAATATCGCTTGTTAAATCTCCCTTGAAATCCAAGTTCATGTAAAGTTTCTTTTTCGGCGCAAGTGAAGTTTCATTTCTCCAAATTATATGTTTGATATTTTTCTCAATGAATCTTGATGGGTATTAATTTTTGACCAATATTTCTTTCAAAAGATCTATTTTTGTTTCTAGAACTTCGGGACTACAGATGCGTTGGATGTGGGTGGCGAGGGATTTAATTAAATTCCGCTTTTGTTGAATGGTTACCCAGTTTTAGAATCTTGTTAGTTGACCATTCCATGTAGCTTTTCTATGTATCGATCTTCTTAAGACCCTATCAGTTCTTCTCGTTAGTTCCACATCAAGAAAAGAATTTTTGATTCGTTTTCCATTTCAGGAGTAAATTTTATTTCTGGATGGCAACAGTTAAATATCTGCAGCAGTAGATTGGGGTCATAACTGTTGTCACAAATAATAAACATGTCACCTACGTATCTTTTATACAGATGTAAGTTGTCGATGCTCCGCTTTAATGAACCTTTCTGGAGGCTTGCCACGAAGCAATCTGATAATAGTGAACCCAACGGAAATCCCATTGCAATATCACCTTCTTATTTATAGATGGTGTCGCTGAAAGTGAACTGTACGTTCAGAGTGCATCTCAGTAGTAATTCCTTCAAATTTGCTGTTTGTATTCCAATAATGAGATAGTTTTCATCCATATATATATTTACATATAAAATAGGCTATTTAGTGAAAAGTGACTCAATGTCGAACAACAGCATAATTTTTTTAGAAACAGTCAGGTCTTGTATGCAGTCGATAAACTGGAAAGCGTCACATGGAGCGAATGCGTACATAATTGTTTCCTTACAGGTTACAGAATATCTGGCAGCCATTTTGAAATAGAATGGTAGGCGGGAACCTGATATATCCAGAATTGGACGAAGTGGAAGACCAACCTTGTATATCTTTGGTGGACCATAAAGTCTTGGTATTATTGAACCTGTTGGCCGGATCTGTTCATAGATATCACAACTGATCAGTTGAATGGCTTTCATTCTCTTCAGGATGTGAGCTGTGAGCTGCTACTCAATCAGTTCAGTTTTGTTTTTTTTCCCTAGAAGGTTGGGGGAAAATTGTCTTTATCTGACAGTATATTGTTTATTTTCTTGATGTAGTCTTTTATATTCAATATAGTGTGCGTCGGTGGAACAGCGGTTAGGATGCTCGCCGACCATGCACATGGTCCGGGGTTCGATTGCCGGCCACCGACGCAATCCTTTACCTTGCTAAGCCAGAAATAATGCTGGTGAAGAGGAAAGATTGGGCATGAGGCTAGCAACCCCATCCTGTAAAATAAACACTGCTACAGAAACTTCAAGCCACTAGCTTGTAGCCCTATGTTCCACTGGGGAACTTGAAGAAAAAAAAATAGTGGTTAGTGAAAGAAATGTCTGAAAGCGTTGACAGTATAAGGAAATTTGCAAAGTATTGCTTCAACTTAGTATATGACTAACAGTAACAGGATAAAATTGTCGACGTATGAAGTGGAAGTGAAGCCAAAACTTTAAAGGAATATAATGGAATAGGGGATCAAGGTTTGATATTGTCACCAAATGTGTTGAGTTTAGTGTAGGCGTACATATTTTCTTCACAGACACAGATCAGGTACTGATCGTACTGATCGCTACCGCTACATATGGCCGAGTAGTCACACACTGCTCACCGTTTTTTAAATGTAAATATAAATATATAATGCATGTGGATGGTATTATATTTATATATATTTCATTTGATACCGAATAGTTAAAGTCAAATATTCGATGGAGTTTCATTCAGGCTGGATGATTTTGATGAATGACTGATCTAAGAAAGACGAGTAACGATTAGGCCTCAGCAAGAAACAAAATCAGACCAAAATCTGAATCATTTCTAATTCTAAGGTGTTAAATAATGAATTTACTTTCTCTAATCTTCTAGTATACTAACTGAAATTCAGTAAACTACTTCGATATTTTCCAATTTCTGAGTTATCAATAATGAGTTATGTTTACGTAGTTCGATCTCCACGTCAAAAAAACTAATCCCCTCGTAATATTGATAGAAGAATGCGAAATTTGTCTGATAACTTCCAGAACATTAGTTGTGTGGAATAACTTCAGATACCTTTGTGAAAACAGACGTCATTTGGTAAATATTTTGTTATCATTAATTGATTACTATTGTTAAACTAACTGTCGTTTGCATTGACATGTATCCTAAAACTAAATTTTGCATGAAGAAAATGACACCTGTGTGATGATTTGTTGTGTGTTTGTGTGCTCTTAAATTAACAACTTGGAAGGTAATATTTTCTGCGGATTCCTCATGAGGTGGTGTGTTTGGGAGAAATAGAGACTGTTGTTGTGCGTACAAGGCACCATGTTATACAGAGGAATGGTCTAAGAATATACCAGTAATTCTGAAATTTGATTGGTTGGAGGAATTCATCATAAGCTGACATCAGTTAGAGAACCACTGAAAAACCTGGTAGCACTGGACAGCTGTTCTATCCAAAGTTGAGACTCCTCAGCAGTACGCACCCACCGGGTTTCGAACCCAGGACCTTCTGGTTACAAGACGAGCTCGTAGACCATTGAGCCACTGGGACCCGATCCGGTGGTCCTTGAATTCTAACTTCTACCAATTCACGACACAGTGCGACCATTTCGCAATGTCTTCTTCGATGAGTTACTGCCTCATCTTCAACCTGCTGTACCCTACTGGTCACGGCTTCCCACTAGGACGTCCCAAACTAGGACGAAACAGCTGTCCAGTACTCCCAGGTTTTCCAGTGGTTCTCTAAATGATGTCAACTCATGATGAAATCCTCCAACCAATCAAACAAAAAAATCCCTACAAAACCAATACTTGAAAATTCTGAAATTGACGGAATGAAACGACATTCTTAATTTCTGAAAAATCAAGCACCGACTATCACCATCAAGTAACATTTCGTATGACAACTAATGTCTATACTTGTTACACAAAAATATTCTGCTTCCAAAGCTCATGTTAATGATCGATTCTGGATTTTAGATCATCGAGAAAAGACACTGAACAAAGGACACTGTAAGCTGACATGCTGAGCTCTGTGATCTGATTAGTACTTATTTGTGGCTAATATCATGGTCAAAATATTCCACAGATTTACGACTGTCTCTTCACATTGAAATTCTAAGTACCCATACTGAACGTGTAACTGACTAGTAGAAATAGTAATATGAGATAATGAAAGCCACTAATCTCTAAACATCTCAAATCCTTATTAGGTTTTTAAAAAACATAGCATGAATCTTTTTGTTTTCTCTTCAGCCTTCGAGATTTACTATGCTTCTAGGCCCGACAACAATTTTGTCATCTCCTTCGACAAATTTAAGTGATTTCACCTTTAAGATACGTTTTACAGTCGGGCTGTTTTCCGACATGGCAGCTCCATCAATTGGAACTAATTTGATATTCAATTTGGATGCCATTCTGGACACAAACATAAGTGTGGCGCTCCCTCTAGTGGTATCTGAAATCTGTCCACAACAGAATGATGCAGTCAAGTTTATAAAATGCCCTCAAGAAGTCGCATTTGGGGGAGTGTATGAATACTCCGTTGAGTTTTTTATAAGCAGACCTATTAGCGATTATGTGGTAAGTTTACTCTTTTTCATTGACATACATGAATGTACACTAAATCCGTCCAATTTTTTCTTCCCAGAAATATATGAGTCTCAGACACCGCAGATGTTGACAGAAGGCTAATTATCAAAAATAAAAAGTTAAAATATTTTATGTCAGAGGTGACACAGATCTATGTGAATTTTCCTGATGCAGGATTTGACTGCTAGTTTGCTTCAGACGACAGAATGAATTCCTGTTTTTGTTTTTTTCAACTGTAAGGTTGAACGTTGACTATTTCATATCGAAGATTGTTAAAACGTATCAATAGTCATGTGATTGATAGAGAAATCACTATGCAGTACGCTATCATAGTTTTCTCGGTGTTTTCCTGACCATGTGGCAGTTGAAATTTAGTTATTGATTGATACACGTTTTATTATAGATTTTTACTGATACTGTCCCTTCAGCATACTTCACCATCCCAATTTTCGCTGTAGTAAATAATAAGAGACAAAAGAAAAAAGGTAGCTCAACATAGACGTCATTTCAGCGACTTCATTCTCACAATCTTTACAACACATGTGACATGAAAGTTCGTATGTATGTTGACAGATGAAATTAGATTACACAATAGGCATAGAAACGAAATTACAGGGGATAAGAAAAACATTTTGCATGACATGTGGAAGCTGAGCTTTTCGTTAACTCTCCCCAATGTCCTAATGGATATTTTCCACAACTTGAAAACAATTCTCAAACGAAGAATGGGTGTCAAATCGATCCGCATTGAAACATATTGAAACAATACGTTTCCTGTTTTAAAATTGATGTTGAAAATAAATGAAGGGATTGCAAAATCAACAACTAAGAAGCCAAACAGAACTTAATCCATGGTAAATGTATTGGCTGGACTAGTTCTTTATGAATGCAACTTCGTATTCTCTATTCGTATGGCAACGTCTTCTACAGTAGAAAAAAAGTTCGAAACATACTACCCTTACCAGATGTTGTGCCAACAGGTGCCAAAGAGGTGTTCAATCATATCATTTCTGATTGAACCGGTGCCACCTCCTTGCAGTTATGCTAGATAGTGTTCTCTAGCATATTTTGGAAGGAGGCTCATGGAAGGAGCAGATGAACCAATATATGCACGTCGGAGTGAGTTACAAACAAAAATTTAGTAGTTGTCTCAATTTGTTTCCCCTCTCATTACGTTCATTAAGCTCTATTGTACATATTATGCAGCTAGTTTTCTAATCATATTTAATTATTTATTTCTCAGTCATTTGCGATCTATTTTGGTCTTTCAGGAGTTTTTGTCACCCTGTTGAATCTAGATTTAGAAAAATACCCTTGAAACTAAAGGGTAGTATGTAATTCACTATTTAGTCAGGTCGTACTGCACAGACGGTATGAAGTGTAAAGAGTAAAGTGCGTGTTCTTTTGAAACTCAGTTTGTATGCTTAAACATGTAATAGCAGATTGTTTCTAATCAATCCCTAAAAATATTTATAAGCGCTAAACAAAAGATTGAAAATTAGACTGAAAACATCATCATCCTTGTAAAGAACTGTAAAATAAAGTGTACTTTGTGGAATAAAATTGGTCTGATTAATTTTGGTAGAGATAAAAAGTCGAAATAACTACAATCACACACACCAAAACTCGATACATTACAAGCGCTTCCGTTTAGAGGGATTTCAAAACTGTGTCGGTGGCACAGTGGTTAGGACACTCGCCGACCATGCATATGGTCCGGGTTTCAATCCCCTGCCGACGCACACCCGATATCTATGGTCGGCCTGCAAAATTTGGGTTACCGATATCCATGCTGAAAATTCCATACTTGTACTGAAAATACGGTATGGCATCAAGCTGTGAATATAAAAAAATATATATCCACAATGACTAGTCAACGAAAACCCATTTCCAGTCAATAATCCATGTTGAAACACAAACGAAAAGCTTTCTGTATAGAAAATTCTCTTATTATTATTATTATTGTTTCCCTTAATTCCTAGAGGAACATAGGGCTTCAGCCGTGCGTTCGGTTCTCAGCTAGAGTTTTCACCTGGCTCCAAGTCTGCCAACACGTTTTCATCTCCTGTTCACATGACCTCCTTCAAGTCACCCTTGCACTGAGGACCAACTCGCCGCTTCCCATTCTGTCGGATTCCACTCGAGCAGTGGCTTGTCTAGTGATGTCACTCACTTGATGGTTTCCTCAGAGTATGGCCAGCCAATCCATCTCCATTTCCTCCTGCCTATTTGTTTCACAATTGGTTCCTGGTTGATTTGCTCCCAGAGATCTCTGTTGCTGATCAACTCTGGTTGGCCATCTGATCTTGAGCATTGAGCGAAGTTGTCAAAAACACAACTCCAATTTGTTCCATTTTCTGTTGTCCTATTCAGCTCGGCTCATGATCTCACAGAATCTCTGATCTCCTCCTCACACGATCTCCTCCACGTCACCCTGGCACTGACAACCCACTCGTCGCTTCCCATTGAGATTCCACTATAGAAATGGTCTGCATTGGGCGCCATGTCATTCGACTGTCTCTTCAGTGTATGCGCATCACAAGCAATCTTTATTTTCTTCGATATGTATACTTGTTTAGCAATAAGCTCTTGGTTGTTTTGTTGCCACTCAGAGTTTCTTGTAACTTATGCATTCTGGTTGACCGACTGACCATTCGATCTTCAGTATGGAGCCAGCCAACAAAGGAGGCACATGTTAACAAAAGTCTGTAACTTGTTGGAAATCCACTTCGTGACACTCACTGCAAGTTTCTGACGCACAGAGAAGAAGCGATGACGGACTGACTGACTTCACATTTGTGTTCAACAGAATCCGAATCTCGCTGTTTATGCTGAGGTGGAGTGCATAAGATTTGCAAACTGGTATCAGTTTGATGAAGACGTATCTTGCCTGCACGATGCATTCTGGCTGTCTGGTTTTGACATCTTCATCCGTTCCGACTGCCTGCAGTTGAAACGATGCTTCCCAGTTAATTGAAGGAGGTAACCCCTGGTAAATCTCTCCCGTTGATGGTGACTGGTGCTGGCTGTTGTTGTTGCTATCGCTGTTCGTTGATCATCTTCTTCACTTCAATCTTCTCTTTATTCACCTGAAGTCATGTATTTGCTGCTGACCTCTTGCACCAATTTGTTGGTTTTCGTCTGAAAGTCTTCGTGTTTGTGTGACACTACACATAAATCATCGATGCACGAAATCTAGGTCTCTAAGAGTCTTCATATCGGACAGTGCAGCGTATTTCTGTCTTCTCACTGCCCATGCACAGTCTGACGCATAATCCAGTCCACCACAATCAAGAATATCATCGGTGATAACAGCCAGTCTGTTTCGTCTTACTCCCGTGTTCCCTTCGAAAGCCATACTGAATTTTCCGTAGTGGATCACTTGACACATGGCATTGTCGCATAGCTGTTGGATGGATTTGATAAGGATTTGTGCATTGCATCCCATTGTGTTGAAGTAGTTTCCAAATTGATTCTCGTTCAACGGTGTCATGGGAAAGCATTTCCGAAGTCGATGATGTTGAGATAGATAGAGGTTTGACTGCCATTCTATTTTCCGTTCCGTGATGATGATGATGATGTGTAGAGTAGCCATTTGATCAGCACATGATTTGCCTTTCCTGAATCCATCCAGCTTATTTCGGTGTGTGGTGGAGTTCTGCATCCAATGAATCTTGCATTCCCTCCAGGATGACGTGACTTAATATTTTTCTTGGCGTGTAGAAGAGCATTATTACAAGCCTGTTCTCGCACAGGTGTAGTTTGGCCTTCGTTGGTAGCCTGACAAGGCATCCAGCCTGTCATCCCAACTGGGTTTCAGTAGCTTGACCGCATTCAGAATTTCTGTTTTCGTTGGAGGTGTTGGTAGTGATGGTGTATTTGTGGGTGAGCTGCAGATGATGGTCGATTCAAGAGTCTTTTTTTGATTGCACACTAGTCAGTAACTAGTGTAATGCGTCTAGTCCTATCTTCGGTGCAGTTCAATTCACAGTGCACCGTAATGGCGAGCCACCTAGCATGGTGGCCACATTGCAAACATGACTGATAGAATTCAGTCTGCACCGATGATAGGACTAGACGCATTACACTAGTTACTGACTAGTGTGCAATCAAAAATATCCAATACAGTCCTACAGGAGGTCAGTCGCGAGCCTGAATAGCTCAGTGGTAACGTCTCTGACTGCAGCACTGGGTGACGCGGGTTCGAATCTCAGAAGGGACATCAGTTCCTTCAAGGTTGCAGATACGCCTTGCTGATGAGTGCCAACCAGCACGAAACCTAGTCAGTCCAAGGCTTCCTGCCGATTGCCTCCAAAAATCTAATACCAACGATTCAAGAGTCCTTTAAAGTGATCAGCCTATGGCCGTATTTGTCTCCCCTCCTTGGTAATCAGATTCCCTTGAACATCTTTTATCGCTTTCATCATCTGGGTTGATCTCTTCTCATATAGAGACCTAGTTTTCTGATGTAATGTTCTGACGTCTGTTTTACCTGCCGCCTGCCTGCCTGCCTGTTCTGATACAGTTGTCGGCCAGTGTGTTGCAGAATTGTCTTTTGTCTTTCCTCGTGATCTTCTAAACTTCTTTATTCAGTGTGATGTGCATTGAAATCAGCTTCTCCTGCTGTTCGCCATCTTTGCATTCAGTCATCTTCTACTTCACCATCCTCCTCTCCTACCTTCTATTAGCTTCCAGATAGGTGTTCGTGGAGAGTCATTCCTAGTCTTGTCTATTCTCATCTCTTCTTTCTTCCTAAAACGGTTGTATTCGTTGCTTCCTTGAACATTATCCACAGAGAGTTAGTTGGAATGTTCTTCCACGCAGATTTCCTCAGTGGTGCCACGTAGTGTCTCCAACCGCGCTCTGGTCTAATATGATCTGATCTGTTTGATAGTGAAGGTATCCCTTGTAGTTTTGTCCATCAGCTCAGCTTCTGTGTGTTGAACTTGAATTGTCGTCTATCTGCAGTGGTTCTGGAGGTTTTCAGCTTGACGTTGAGGGTTGTTTGAAGTAGATGATGGTGTGAGCCCACATCTGCTCCTCTTCTCGACTTCGTGTCCAGCAGACTATCTTCATCTCCACTTCCTTGAACAGCATTGAGATGAAATCTATCCGGTTTTTGGTGTGTTCGTCAGGTGAAGTTCATGTCACTGACCTTGTGTGTATTCTTGTGCTTATACACGCTGTCTCCAAACACCAAATCATTGAAGGCGTGGAATTCTGTGAAGGCATCTCTGCTATCATTCATTTCGCTGAACGAGAGCCTCTCGACCAATGAAGAGTTCTCTTGCAGTGTTTTCTGCTCTCAGTTTGACTTGCATTCGTATGGCCGATAAGGATTTTGATATCGTCATTCGGGATGTTGTCTAGTGCTGTTTGAAGTTGTCTGTGGAAGTTTTCCTTCTTCTCTTCCTCCGCGTTGTTTGTAGCACTTTGTGTAGCATTGGATGATTGTAACCTACCTTCTTCCCTTCATTTCGTCTTTCTAAGTTGCATCTTGTTGGTATAATCCTGCAGCGAGTGATTAGTACCCACTGCATTAAGACACTTGGTTGCCAGTGGTGATATCATGACAGCCGCTCGCTGTCTCAGGGTGGTTGGAGTTGTTGTCTGGATGACCAGATGGGAGTAGATTATTGAATCTTCAGTTGACAATGTTGACAGTCCACATGCATTGCATCTGCTCTTTCAGATTTCCATCACTTCTCTACCATGTCTTCTCACTCCGTTGGCTGCCTGGGCAGCCTTCCCTGTCTAGTACATTGTAGGGACTTTCCATGTACTCATTCTTATTCTTGCTTACATCGAGAGAGAACACATCATCTCTGGCTGGCTGACTGGCTTCCTTATGTCTTTCACCAGCCGGCTGTGTCATTTCGCCCATCAGATTTCAGAGAAAAACAAGTTTGTTTAATGTATTTTTTGTATTTTCAATGTTTTTCTTGTTCGTTGAAGTTTCTGTAGGAGTTTGATTGGGTTTATTTTGGTGTAGGGTCGCTAGCCCTGCGCTTCCTCTTTTATCTCGCTTGGGACAGACTAGAGAAGCCATCAATCTAGTAAATTAGTTATACCGAACAAGCGTTCTAACAATTTTTTTACAGTTCACTTTCAGTGCTTTTTCAAGAACAACTTCAATTGGACATATGTTTATCACGATTCCTGACACTTTTGCCACGTATCCAGAAATATATGAAATGAATACAGAACAAACTTCATTCAATTCATATTTTCACACATCATTAAGCTCTATAAGTGTTAAAAATTTGCAGAGTTTAGGTAGGTTTATTCATCCTGTGTTGTGCTCAATATTCTACATAATAATGGGATATTTCTTCTATGCAAAATATAAGTTTTTATGATGACTGTTGTTTCCAGCGTGTCCACACATTAAATTGTATTTACATATGTCGGTGAAACTTGTCCAAATCAAATTCTCAGATTATGGAATATGGTTACAGATATCGTAGAGAAAAACGCGAATGTTGTATGTTACACCTCTCCATTGATCTGCTGTAGATGGGAAAAAAATAGAAGCTTCGGTCGCGTTATGAACCATCGAGCACAATAGCTCGTAATCTTTCCACTAAGTAGTATCAAGTTTCAATGTAAACGGTGGTGGTGGTGGTGGCAAGTCTGAAGTCAAGCAATTAATTTCAGAGCTCTCCTTCAAAACCTGATCTATATGTCTTCAGGAAGTAAAACACACCCCACACTGATATACAAAAAAATGTAGAAACCATTTATTATCGTCTACTTTTAAAACGTGCGTTGGTGGCACAGTGGTTAGGACTCTCGCCGACCATGCACATGGTCCGGGGTTCGATCCCCTGCCGACGCACACCCGATATCTATGGTCGGCCTGCAAAATTTGGGCTACCGATATCCATGCTGAAAATTCCATACTTGTACTGAAAATACGGTGTGGCATCAAGCTGTAATAAAAATAAAAATTTTAAAAAATCAGAGATTTTCATTTGTGAAATTGTTTCAATGAAAGTTGAAATAAATCAGTTTCCTGAGTCTATAACAAAACACTCTACATAAACTGTTAACAAGAAATGCGTAGACAGTTAGTTATACAAAAGTCTGTTTCGGCATAATTGACTCGAATAAAAGTCAGTTGATAAGTAGTTTTTTTTCTTTTTCCTTCACATTTCCCAGTGGAACATAGGGCTTCAAGCTAGTGGCTTGAAGTTTCTGTAGCAGTGTTTATTTTACAGGATGGGGTTGCTAGCCTCATGCCCAACCTTTCCTCTTCACCAGCATTATTTCTGGCTTAGCAAGGTAAAGGAGTGCGTCGGCCGGGGATCGAACCCCGGACCATGTGCATGGTCGGCGAGCGTCCTAACCGCTATGCCACCGACGCAGAACAAGGCGTATCTGCAACCTCGAAGAAACTCATATCCCTTATGAGATTTGAACCCGCATCACCTAGTGCTGTAATCAGAGACATTACCACTGAGCTATTCGGGCTCTTTAAAATGAATTTAGCGCCAATGATTTTGTCAGGAAAAATGATGAAGGCTTCACAAATAACACATTCATATGGAGCGTACCTGAATGCTGAAGTAACTCTGGTGTGAAAATAATCATTCTGAAAACCTCCTAGTCACATTATCGCCGATGAAGACTGGCATTTTTCAGGTTAGGCCTTTTCGCTCTTCATGTTGTCTGAAGACGGAATCATGCGGCACTATGTGAACAGATATAGAAGCGCCTTTCACTCTGACCCAGTGAATTCTCTATACATTTTTTATGACCATGATTTCTAGTGACAATACAGCATTGAGAATGTGTTTCACTTAAACAAGTTATCTCTAACTGGCTTACAGAGTATGACGCGTATTCATTCGCTTTCAAATTGTTTGTCTACACAGCTAGCAGCTGCACTATGTGTGTATTTGTAATTGATCTTTTAATTTTTAATTTTCATTCTAGGACTATATGATACTTCTCTTTCGATATCCAATCGATCAGTTCGTTTGACAGCTTACATTCAAATTTCAACGAGAAGTCTTCCTACTGAAAGGTTCGAAGCTAGGATCGAACCAACCGGAATGAATTTGACCACAGGAATCTGTGAAAGCGCAGGCTATAGATATTCCAATTACGTAAATGTAGGATATTCTAAAAATAAATTTATCTAACTTAATTTATCTAGGTATCACAGTGTTCAATGGTAGTAGGTGATATTGAATTCATGGATCAACTCGAAATGGTTAAGTATTTCAACGTTCAACTTATAATGCCTTATTTAACATCCGGTTTCTTTACTTTAAACTCACTTTCAATTACTTCTACATATGCTGAAATATATCATGTGGAGTATTTATACGTTGACAAGGATAATTCCAATGCAATTAGAAATGTGAGTACATTATGTGTAATTTTTTTTACAGCAACTCTCTATATGTCTGAATAAAACCACCTAATTATTATAATATTATTATTGTATCCTTTAATTCCTACAGTAAAAATAGGGCTTCAGCCGCTCGTCTCCATTGCGTTCGGTTCTCTACTAGAGTCTTCACCTGGCTTCATGTCTGCCCACACGCCTTCATCTCCTCTTCACATCACCTCCTCCAAGTCACCCTTGCACTGACGACCAACTCGCCGGTTCCCTTTCGGGTTCCACTCGAGCAGTGGCTTGTCTAGTGATGTCACTCACTTGATGGTTTCCTCAGAGTATGGCCAGCCAATCCATCTCCATTTCTTCCTGCCTATTTGTTTCACAATCGGTTCCTGCTGTGTTGGTTCGCTCATTGCCAGAGATCTCTGTTGCTGATCTTTTCTTCCCGGCCATCCGATCTTGAGTGGTAGTGAGCGAAGACAACTGTTAATGAAGGTGTGTAGTTTGTTTGAGATGCTCTTTATGACGCGCAGTGCAAGTCTCTGATCCGTATAGTAGCACCACCTAATAAAAAGATTAAATTCTGCATATGAGATGAGGTGCAATTCACTGGAGTGGTGTGCATGTAAGGCAGCTAACTCATGCCATTTGATTAACAAATAGGTTAAAGCTATTCTGCATAGTTTTCAAGTGAAATATGGTATAATCGCAGGTATGTGTTATGTGGTGTCTGTGGCTTTCTGGCAGAATGTTTGTCAACCATGCATGTAGTTTGGGGTTCGATCTCAGTTCGATACACTACCCCATTACCTCTCTAAGCCAGTAATATCACTGGTAATGAAAGAAAGTTGGGCATTAGGCCAGCAGCTCCATCCCGTAAAAATAAACACCACTGATACTGAAACTTTATTGCTCTAGCTTGAAGGCCGATTTTTCACTGGGAAATTAAAAGAATAAGAAAAAAAAGTGTTACATGAAACTGTGAAGGACTTACATGGAAATTTCATTATGGGTAAATTTTGTTTTGATAAAGTCTCACAGAGTTATACAGTAATGTTTACTGATGACCACGTTTCGAGCACAATTTATCACTGCTCATAATCATATCAAGGTAATCACACGACTTCCTAAATTCATTTATATAGTTCCATTGTTTTTCACTTGATTTTCACTTGATTTGATTGGTAGTAATATTTTCTATATTTCGGGTATGAGTGATGAATCATTCCTATTGCCATGTGTTGGGTGTAGATTCGATGAACAAGGATTCAGTAATCAACCTCTCTCTTCACCTACCTAGATTACTTTTCAGAATTTTAACCCTCTCCCACCCTATTGTGTGGTAGTGTACTAATGCATGCATTGCAATTGCTGAGCTTTTTTCTAAATTACTTATCTTCTCCGGGTCAACCATTCTGACCTTAGCTAAATTCTTATGTTCTGACAATCTGACTACCCCTGACCTACTAGTTTGACCTATGTAGTTGAGCTAACTCACATCCATTGCAAGGTATTTTGTAAATTATATAATTTTGTCTAATTGGGTCAACTGGGTCCTTTAACCTACAGAGCTTGCCCTACCTGAGTGAGTTTGTAGATTTAAATGCCACCCTAATTCCTGCTTTATTGAGAATCCTACGTAGGGTCTCAGATGTCCCCTCTTTATATGGTATAACTGTAGATGACTAATATTCTCTCTTATTTATGTTATTATTACTAGTTTCACAATTCTTTTTATTTTTCTTTTGGCCTTTCTCAATCTTCCTAATGAATTTTAAAGGATAGTTATTTAACACCAACATCCTTGTTCATCGAATCTACACCCAACACATGGCAATAGGAATGATTCATCACTCATACCCGAAATATAGAAAATATTACTACCAATCAAATCAAGTGAAAATCAAGTGAAAAACAATGGAACTATATAAATGAATTTAGGAAGTCGTGTGATTACCTTGATATGATTATGAGCAGTGATAAATTGTGCTCGAAACATGGTCATCAGTAAACATTACTGTATAACTCTGTGAGACTTTATCAAAACAAAATTTACCCATAATGGAATTACACTCTACCACAGTGCACAAGTTTTATTCTTATATCAATAATATCAAATGGAAACTTTGCTCAAATCATCCATTCCATCCTTTAAGACATTCTCCATTCTCTTTAGGTGGTAATAGAATACTTGAAATATTTAAATAAAAGTATTAGGAAGTGATAAAACTAAGGCTGTTAGCATATAAAATAATAGTGAGTGAAATTGAATCCGCATATACTTACATATATAAATCATTCACGTAATGGTTCTGGCATGATCAAGTCAAAAACTACACTATATCTGCTGTATTCACACCGATATTCAGTATATTTCATTGTGTGATGAGATAAATTCATGGTCATAGTTTCTAGAGTGATACATATCTGTATTTTCTTAGATCAGCAAAGTTGGACAGTCTATGCTTACTCAACCTGATTCTATTTTGACAACTTTACACTGACAAACATAAACAGCAGGAAGAGATTCAGTGCAGCAACAACAGATGCTTGTCTGAATGGCCTATTGTAACAACAGAAGACAAGGGCCAAGCAACAGATGATTTATTAAGGAAAATCAACACATATTTATAGATTTTAATGTATATTATTGTAGATTATTGTTAGTAGAAAGTACAGTCGTTTGATTGGTTGTTTCTCACAGAAAGTTAACCTTGCATCTCTTTGTGGCTGTGTCAGATCATCGACATGCTAACTGTATCCGCCTACGCAAAGCCTTTGTTCTCATTTTCTCACCACCAATATTGGGGACATACAAACATTGACATCAATTACTCTGTCTACTAACTTTGGCTAGCAGCCAGCTCTCACCACACTACCACATGTGTCTAATGACATTGGAAAGTATGTGTAATGAATTGAAACAGTATAAATGCATGTGATAAGAGAATAGACTTGTGACAGTGTGACCTAACACACACACACACACTTTAGTCAAACAGAAGATATTGTCTAGTGAAAAAGATCCGCCAGCCTATCACATAATGTTTGCCTTTCAACATTTATTTCCACAACAAAATAACTCAACTTTCAGGTTCTACTTTTGACAGTGGCTTTATTTTGCTGTCTTTTTTTTAATCAAAACTTATATATCCTATCTTGCAGATTAGACTTATTTCAGAATACAATGTGCAAAGTTCAAATAGACGGAGAGTGGGAGCAAACACACCCCTGGGTTTTTTTGAAAACAACAAAACTTCATTGAGTGATACTTATAATTTCAGAGTTGGGATCAAGTTTTTTTTTAATGCCGCCCTTAAAGTAGGCGATCTAATCAGTATAAGATTTCAAGTTACTGCATCTTCGACAAGTTTGCCTAGTGTACAGAAAAATGTCCCAATAACAAATATAAGAATGCCACCCACTATCACACCGGTAAGTTTACTATGTATGTTCACTTTTAACACAACTTGAATTATTTAATTGGTGGATGGTGACTAGCAGTGGAATCCAATCCAGGATGCGCATTTCGTCCTATTTGGGACTCGTTAGCTGGATGTACCTGCATTTCTCAGTGAGTGATGATGTTCCCACTGAGGCTCGAACCCAGTGCCCACAGTTTCCAACGCCAAAGCGTTATCCACTAGACCACTTGGGCCACGAGAGCCACCCCGGCTCTTGTGCAACGGGTCATATTGATTTATTTGAATTTTAGATTTTTCCCGTCGATTGATTGGACCGAAGTGCTCGGTCTCAGGTTGACATGTCGGCTTCTTGAGCAGATGCTTCGACGATGTCTGGGCATTTAATTAGTATTTAATTGGTGGATGGTGACTAGCAGTGGAATCCAATCCAGGATGCGCATTTCGACCTAAAATTCAATTAAATCAATATGACCCGTTGCACAAGAGCGGGTGGCTCTCGTGGCCCAAGTGGTCTAGTGGATAACGCCTTGGCGTTGGAAACTATGGGCACTGGGTTCAGGCCTCGGTTGGAACATCATCACTCACTGAGAAATGCAGGTACATCCAGCTAACGAGTCCCAAATAGGACGAAATGTGCGTCCTGGGTTGTACTGCTAGCCACCATCCACCAATTAAATACTAATTAAATGCCCAGACATTGTCGAAGCATTTGCTCAAGAAGCCGACATGTCAACCTGAGACCGATCACTTCGGTCCAATCAGTCGACGGGAAAAATCTAAAATTCAATTAAATCAACTTGAATTATGTTCCATTTTATCATGCATGAATCTTTCCAACTGACTGAACTGAATCACTTCTCTTCGCGAAACACTTGATTGTCAATGTAGTTTAATATTTGAAATAAGTTAAGTTTTCCTCCACACACACACACACTACTGACTATGTTTCACGTCAGGCGAAAAAAACAAACAACGGCTACCATCAGTTATCATAGCTAACTGCAGCACTTTCCTTGATGAAATGTTTCTTTTATTAACTAACTTTGAAATAACTCAGAAATAACTTGTGTGAAAGGATTTTATGAGAGTAATCTTGTCACTATTTCCACTGAGTGAGGATGCTGAACATGCCTTAAATTCAATTATTTGTAAATTCAATATTTTCTCACATTTACGTGGAAGGAAGCTTTATATTTTGTTTAATTCGAATGGTGCATGTAACTTATTTCATTATTCTGTAGTCACAGTAAACCAGAAGTATGGACTTCAGACTCTGATTATGTAGTTGTTTTCATAACCATTGTTGATCTGATATGCCTCATACAATATTATAGACATGAGGCATACATTTCAGCCTGGTACGCAACACTTCTTCTCTCAGTCTTTCACTCCTTCAATCTCCAAGTTTGTTTACAAGAATGATATTCTCCTTAAGTGCTTTGCATCAAAATGTGTGACTCCACTAAACGTTATGATCAGTATAAGAGTGGACTCTTCTCACTGTTAATATATATGTGTAAGACTTGGGCACTGTGGCAGTATGTAATTCCATATTAGTTTGTTTATTAGATGTATCACACAGTGAAGAAACAGTATTATTATTTACTGGATGACAAAGTTTCGAACACAGTTTATTATTGTTCATAATCATATAAATTGTAATTACACGACTTCGAAACTTGAGTTTTATAGTTTTCCTTATTCTTTCCTATTTGTCGTTGGGTGAGTAGAATTCTCCAGATATCTGCGACAGCTGATGAATCATTCCTATTACCTGTATTTGCAGATGATTCGATAAACAAAGCTTCTGTTATCAATCTCTCCTTCCACCCTGATGTTATTTTAGATATTAAAACTGTCATCTTATCCCATCATCCTATTGTATGGTTGTGTGTAATTGTATGTGGCAAGTGCTATAGCTGAACTATTGTCTAGATTTCTTATCTTATTCGGGTCAACTAATCTAGATTTTACTAGGTTTATATGCTTCACTAGTCTGACTGACCCCATTCTACTACTCTGACCGATGTATTTGACCTGACAGTCCTCTCTGGCAGAGTATAAGATAAACTAAATTATTTTAATTGGCTCCACTGACAGGATCCTTTAATCGACAAAGCTTATTTCTAATTGAGTTTGTAGGTGGTTTGAATGCTAGCCACTTTTATTCCTGCCTTGTTAAGAATTCTGTGTAAGGTTTCCGAGGTTCTTTCCTTGTATGGAATTAATACTGATGATTTAGATTCCTTATTGTTGGTGTTGTCATTATCTTGTGCATGTTTCACGTGCATGTCGTCATTAATATTACTATTATTATTATTATTATCACTATCACTAAAATCATTATTTATTTTATTTCTACACTTCCCTACATACTTTCTGACTAATTTATCGAGGTAATTATTAAGTTTCAAGGCTTCTCTTATATGTATCACTTCCTACCTTAGATTTTCCTTGGTACTACTTAGTTTTTGCGCTCTACTATTTAAATATCCCACCAATTCTTTTTCCACTGACATAAATTGGGATGATCGGAAGTTAAAATATCTGTTTGAATGTGTGGGTTTCCTGTAAACCCTAGTGTTCAGCTTCCCATCGTATTTCTTTTTACGCTACAATCTAACACTGCAAGCTCCCCTTTCTTATTTTCCAATTCATAAGTGAATTGAATTGCCTCCGCCCTTGAGTTTATTATTATTATTCCCTTGCGTTCCAAGTGTAACATGAAGCTTCAACAACATATCTTCACTTTGTTCTGTTTTCTGCCGTCCTCTTCAGCTGAGTCCATGATTGACCAAACTCTCTCATCTTTTCCTCACATGATCTCCTCCATGTCACCTTCACACTGACGACCGACTTGTCGATTCCCATTGAGATTCCACTTGAGGCATTGTCTGGCGTGCGATGTCATTCTGCGACCTCAATCCATCCCCACTTTCTCCTTTATATTTGTTGAGCGGTCGGCTCTTGGTTGGTTAGTTCCCAGAGAGAGAGAGAGAGAGTTTCTTGTTGCTAACTCTTTCTGGCCATTTGATCTTCAGTATGGAGCCAGCCAACAAAGGAGGCACATGTTAACAAAAGTCTGTAACTTGTTGGAAATCCACTTCGTGACATTCAGTGCAAGTTTCTGACGCACAGAGAAGAAGCGATGACGGACTGACTGACTTCACATTTGTGTTCAACAGAATCCGAATCTCGCTGTTTATGCTGAGGTGGAGTGCATAAGATTTGCAAACTGGTATCAGTTTGATGAAGACGTATCTTGCCTGCACGATGCATTCTGGCTGTCTGGTTTTGACATCTTCATCCGTTCCGACTGCCTGCAGTTGAAACGATGCTTCCCAGTTAATTGAAGGAGGTAACCCCTGGTAAATCTCTCCCGTTGATGGTGATTGGTGCTGGCTGTTGTTGTTGCTATCGCTGTTCGTTGATCATCTTCATCACTTCAATCTTCTCTTTATTCACCTGAAGTCATGTATTTGCTGCTGACCTCTTGCACCAATTTGTTGGTTTTCGTCTGAAAGTCTTCGTGTTTGTGTGACACTACACATAAATCATCGATGCACAAAATCCAGGTCTCTAAGAGTCTTCATATCGGACAGTGCAGCGTATTTCTGTCTTCTCACTGCCCATGCACAGTCTGACGCATAATCCAGTCCACCACAATCAAGAATATCATCGGTGATAACAGCCAGTCTGTTTCGTCTTACTCCCGTGTTCCCTTCGAAAGCCACACTGAATTTTCCGTAGTGGATCACTTGACACATGGCATTGTCGCATAGCTGTTGGATGGATTTGATAAGGATTTGTGCATTGCATCCCATTGTGTTGAAGTAGTTTCCAAATTGATTCTCGTTCAACGGTGTCATGGGAAGGCATTTTTGAAGTCGATGATGTTGAGATAGATAGAGGTTTGACTGCCATTCTATTTTCCGTTCCGTGATGATGATGATGATGATGTGTAGAGTAGCCATTTGATCAGCACATGATTTGCCTTTCTTGAATCCATCCAGCTTATTTCGGTGTGTGGTGGAGTTCTGCATCCAGTGCGTCTTGCATTCCCTCCAGGATGACGTAACTTAATATTTCTCTTGGCGTGTAGAAGAGCATTATTACAAGCCCGTTCCTGCACGAGTATAATTCTATCTTCTTTTCCAGTTTGACGAGGAACCCCTTCTTTCAATCAGTAGGAACCTTTCCTTCCTTCCCTCCGAACCTTTGCAATAATGGTGTGAGCATATCAACTGCAGTCTCTGCGTCCGTTTTCAACGCTTCGAAGGTGAATTCTATCTGACGCTGCTGTCATCCTAACTGACGTTCATTAATTTGATCGCATTCAGTATTTATGCTTTTGTTGGATGATTGGTGTCTACTGGTAGGCAGTTCCATGCGTGCTCTGGTTGTATTTCTGGGCGAGTTGCAGATGATGGTCGATTCAAGAGTCCTTTAAAGTGATCAGCCCATTGTTTGATTTGTTCCTCCTCCTTGGTGATCATTTTTTATCATCTGAGTGGATCTCTTTCCGGATAGAGACATGGTTACCTGATATAGTGTCCTCATGTCTCTTTTGCCTCCGCCTGTTCTGCTTCAGTTGCCAGAGTGTCATAGAATGGTCGTTTGTCTTTTCTAGCACTCTTCTTCACTTCTCCATTTATTCAAGGCGATTTGCATTGAACTCAGATTCTCTTTCTGTTCTCCATCTTTGCATTCAGTCATCTTTTCTTTCACCATCCTCCTCTCCTCGATTCACTTCCAGGTATCCGTTTACAGCCTTTCCTTGTCTTGTCTCTTCCTTCTTCCTAGAACAGTTGTACACGTTTCTTTAAATATCGCTTTCGGATAGTTCCAGTGTTCTTCCACACAGATTTCTTCTGTCTTTTCGACGCCGTGTCCAACGGACTATCTGTGCCTCCACTTCCTTGAGCGGCATTGAGATGAAATTTGTCTGTTTTGTGGTATGTACGTCAGACGAAATCCATGTCGCTTTTTGTATATCCTTGTGTTTGTACATGCCCCCTCCGATCACCAAATCGTTGAAAGAGCGGAATTCTGTGAATAATTCTCCGTTCTCAGTCGTTTCTCCCAGAGCCTCTCGACCCATGATGAGTTCTCTTCCTGTATTATCTGCTCCTAGTTTGGCATTCATATCGCCCATAAGGCTTTTGGTGTCACCATTTGGGATGTTCTTAATTATTGTTTGTATTTTTCTGAAAAAATTCCTCCTTCTTTTCTTGTTCCGTGTTGTTTGTAAGTGCGTAGTATTGTATAATTGTTACCTTCCTTCCTTCCTTTGGAGTTGAATCTTGCTGTCATGATCATGGATGAATTTTGGTTCCCATTGCATTAGGGTTTTGGCTGCTATTGGTGACATCATGATCGCTATTCCCTCAGTGTGTTCGTGGTTATATAATACTATACTGGAAAACTCTATTTGATTAGGCAACATACAGTATCACTGAATGGTTAAAAAATGTGAATCCTTTGATATGCTTTGTGCACGAAACGTCATCTAGTTATTCACACTGCATCATAGTGCAATATATCAAATAAAGTTATTCAACATGTAATTGTGTCTCAGAATATGGTTGAGTGCTTCGATTTCATCCTATTCACTTAACCTGACAATTACGTGAGGCAGGTCAGAGTGTTTTTTCCTGGTAATTCAAGTCATATTTAGTTTGGCTTCTCACCTAATAAGAAAGTAAATAAGATGAAAGTCAGTAGGAACGAGGATGTTGAAAAGAAAAGTATTGAGAATTGTAACTTAACAATGTTCAACTAAAACTATTTCGGACCACTTCTCACATCATTATTATTTGCTTTGTTTGTATGATAGAGTTATTTAATGCCTCTTACTTATTTTACCTCACTCTATTTTCATCTAGCTCTCCAAATATCCTATAGTTATCCTTAGAAAAGTCGAGCCACTCCTTTCACAACCAATGATGAGATTTACAGCCATTCTGGAAGTTCGTGTGAGATTCATGAAGGATTTTCTCTACAGTCCAGTCGTTATTCTCTTGAATACAACGGCAGGATCACTATATCAACAACTTTTATTTACAATGGGTGATTTATTAGATACCATGACACCTACAGGCTTGAGTACTAGTTTTTCAGCGTAAGTGAAAATGAAAATAAATGATTCATATACTGATCACATTCACTGTAGATGTTTCCAATTTTCTTATCTTCAAAAATTTTAATTCCTGTAGTGTTCCATATGCTAATATTTTATTTCACAATCAACAATCTGAAAATATTTCAAGCATGAAACAACCCTTATTTCACTGTCATATTTTGAAAGGTTACTTTTACTCGGATTTCATAAAAAGCACGCAGTGACGTGTAAGGTGTCAACCTATTAGCCAACCTTGTTGACGAAAAACATTTAATTAGATTGAAAATCCCCATTGAGTCATATGAAAAAGAGAAGACATTCAGCGAAGAGACTCTTTTCGGCGAATTCATTCACATAGCTGTACAATCGCATTTATATATAAATATTTGTGTGTGTGTGTACATGAGGTTTGTCAAGTTTAGATAATTGATTAGTTAATACAAGAATGATGTAGTATAGAGACAAAGTTAATCAGACAGCAACTAAGGTAAGACTGAGTTAAAAAACTAGATGACGTAATATAATTGGCTAAAATGTTACAACTTAGGTCAGGATAGCAACAGAGGTAATTACAGGTAGAGATTAAGTAGAAGTGAGATTGAGTGAATAAGTTGGATGACGTAACATGAATGACTAGAAGCTGAGGGTTGTTCAAGTCAGTAACAGTGGTAGTGGGGTGTAGAGATTGAATCGGGTGGGGGTAGAGAACAAGAAAGTTGAGAATGTAAAATGTTACAATTGAGAAGACAAAATAATACTAATGAAGAGACAGAAAAAAAAAAAAGATTAGGTAGAATTTACATGTCGGCTAATAAGATAGATTACGTCCATTGCAAGTGTAGCGATTGAACGAACTTCTTCTGTATGCAGAGTTCAGGACTTAGCAAGTGAATCGCCATTGCTTCTGCAGTTTGAAGAAGCCTGATTCGTACACCTTTAGGGAGACCACCTCTTACTCTGTAGACGACTTTGAAGTTTGTTTGCGGTGTAGCTTGGTGTCCGGATTCTATCAGATGTTCTAAGATGGAACTGAAAAACATTTAACTTCAGACTGGCAGAGCTTTTTAAGTTATTTAAAGCGTTCCATCCTATATCAGTCACACTGTATATATCCAATGTTTACATACATACATACAGTATAGGCGATCTGAATTCATCTGAGTAAAACTAGACAGTGTGTGTATGTCTTCTAAAGAAACTCTTCTAAGTGGCTATCATCTCCCTAATGTCGGCAGATGTCGCTTTTCGTATCCATCTTTAGAACTACCATATGTTAACTTTGTTTTTTTTGGCATGACTACCACCCCTCAGATAATTCTTCATCTGAGATATTTTCGTATTCGTGCGTCGGTGGCACAGTGGTTAGGACTCTCGCCGACCATGCACATGGTCCGGGGTTCGATCCCCTGCCGGCGCACACCCGATATCTATGGTCGGCCTGAATTTGGGCTACCGATATCCATGCTGAAAATTCCACACTTGTACTGAAAATACGGTGTGGAATCAAGCTGTAAATAAAAATAAAAAAATATAAAAAAAATAAAATAAAATTCAAGAGCTCTTACATATATACATAAACAACTCGCTCTTACTCTAATCCGTCGTCATCTCTTTCAAAAACTGACGACTGGGCAGTAATCTGAGAACAACACCCCAATAACGCAGTTGTATAATGTTATCTCAGAAAGATGCACTCACTCTTTCTCTTATCATCACTAATTTGCTGTCTAAAATTGACGACTCATCCTCTCCTTATATTCAGGTCTATGCTATCCTCCTTGCAAATACATTCCACTTAACTTTTGATTGAATTTGTAGTTCAAAAAATATTGGTGAATAAATGCGTCTGAACTGACAGAAAGTGTCTCTGTATCCATTAAATACAGTCATATGCGCTGTATGGAATCAAAGATTATAACTCTAAATGAGTGTACATGTCGATATGTGTAAAGTTTTCTAAGTAAACTCAAACTCTGGTAAAATAAAAAATAGTTGGAAGTTAGGCAATTTTAAAGACACACCAATCGGCAGTTATGTACAACTTATATTGCTTTTAATTTCAGTTGTTGTGCAAGCTAGATGATGCTGTCGAATTCAATACAATATAGGCGATAAGTGCTAAAGCCCATGATTGCTTAGAACACTTTCAATAAAAAAAATGAAATATTTCCTGACTATAGTTTTACACTTTATTCTATTCATCTTTATAGAAGTGTAGGCCGAACAACAATACACTCAGCATACTATAATGAGACGTGCAATGATGGTCGTTGTGAAGTGGCCGTCCGTTATTTCCTATACCTAGGCAGTACTCCCACAGTTCTAATCACTTCGGTAGTCTCGTTTGGTTCATTGAGTGTTGTCAAGACAATAAATATTACACCTCAAGTCTACAATGCCAGCTTTAAAACGGTATGTTCTGGACTTCTTTTACTCTTTATTGCATTCACTTTACATATATTTGTCTATGATTAATAAGTTGACAAAGTAATGTGGGAAATTTATCATGAAATCAAAGTTCGGAACAATAAGAAGTTAGCAGAAAGAATCGTCTAGAGTGGTCTATAAAGCCAATTGGTTCACTGAAACTGTGTTCAATTTGTCCGTACACATTTGCTGGGTTAATTAAAGTATTAAGGGATATTTAGAAGCAACTTAGTATTTTTGATAGTTTATAGAAGCCATAAAATGTATGAGAGAATTTCCTGTTCAGAGGTTACGATCCCGGTGTTTCAGCTCATTTCAGCCTAGATTTCGTCATAAATCAAAACGATTTAAAACAAACCACTGCAATTCATGTTGGTTTCTCCATGATTTAGACATCGGTCTCAATAGTTCAGTATCTGGTGTTGATTTGTGGAGAAAATCAAATTGATAAGAATCGGATGCACACAAACCAAACTTAGAATATTAATGCACAGCTCATTAGTACCTGACTTAACAGTGGATATCTTGCAGTTCTAATGATAAGTCCTGATTGGTGTTATCATTATTATTACTATTTGTTTAATCCCTTTGCATTTCTGATGAAACATAGGGCTTCGAAGTTTTTTAGTAGCAGTGATATTATCTTTTACAAAGTGGGATTGCTAGTTTCTCACTAAACATTCCCGGTCTACTATCGGGTAATTGAGGTTTGGCTGCACGCCAGGCGGGGATCAAATTGTGGAACACATTCGTGGTTGGTGAGCACTGGGCTGACGACAGATAGTCACCGATTACACTGAATTTTGGTAATTTTATATTCTGATGAATTTGTGATAGCACATGGTCGGAGATTTATTAACTTGGATGACAAAAAGATAGTCAATGTTTCCTGGCCTTCATTAGCTGTCTATCTGATGTCGGTTTGTTATGAAGTCCGCTTCGGCATAATAAATCTCGTGAAAGAGCGGTTATCATTTCACATACTATGAGAAGTCAACTAGTGAAATGCAACAAACTTTAGCACAACAGAGTTATTTCCCTACTCAATCAATCAATCAATCAATCTCATCTTTGTTCACTGTCGAGCCAAATTCAAAATTAAACAAAGTTATGATCAAAAGTAACACAGTTTCTTCACTGTGATTTTAGTAGAAGCGTTGAAATATAGAGAAAATGAATTAACGGTAGAATAACGGAATATGTATACCTTTAACTTCGGAACTTGCATGACATAAGAATCCGTTTGAACAGTATGCATTACTTATATACGCACTTTTTATTACCATAGCTTACATCAGTAAGAAAGTGTTGTTGTGGCCTACACTTATTAAGTAGTTGAGAGAGAGATAGTGAGACAGAAATAAATTCCAAACCACACAGCTGAAAATCTTCGACCTAACTACACTATTCTACTCCTTTGCTATGAAAACACTGTGAAAATCAGCTATGATTATAAGGCCTGCATAAATGCGAGTCACTATAATGGAAATCAAAATTAAAAGTTCATTATAAATTATTTAAATTAATCCCAGCGTGTTAAGAAAATCAAAACAAGATTTTTCTGAACGTTTCGCTGTGTAAGCCACAGCTTCTTCAGCAGATTTATTCCGAATTTTTATTAATCATCAAAATATATAGTCAAAAATTTTACATACATTCAAGTCAGTTTATTTGAAGGTCATTTGTCTATGGACATTTTTACCAATAGAAAATATGTAAGCAGTCATCACATATTTTTGTAATGACTAATGTCAAGTTGTTGTTGTGTTCAGATGAAGGTCAGAGTGAATGAACATAGTCTATGCACGAAACGTCCACCTAGAAATGAAGTAGAACTAAAAAGTCTAGAAAAAAGATCGGCTATAGCAATGCATGCTATAGAAAGCGGACATAAGATTGATTTCGACAATGTCGAAATTCTTGGAAGAGGATTTCATTCACATAAAGAAAGATTGACTTCTGAAGCCTTGCACATCTTAACCACATCGAATGCAGTGAATAGGAAGGATGGGATAGACTTATCACCTATATGGCAAACTCTTATGAAGCAAGACAAATGAAAAAAAAATCAATCAGCACTCTATGAGCCTCCATGACCTTTTAAAACATATAGGAGTTGTCAGGTGACTCGACAGCTGACAACTCCAGTAGGTCGAATAAAGCAGCTCAATCTTCAGAAAGAAGGCAAAGCAATAAGTTCGACAGGGTGCTTCTACTAAAATCTAATCCTAAACACCATAATTTTGAAAATACGTCTAATCATAAAATTCTAGATACTAACAGTTTGAACAGACATGAAGGCGTGATGTTAGCTGATGCATAGGAAATTCTTATTAATAAATAAAAAATGGATATGTATCACTAATTATTAATACTTGGTCAAAATTCTCGACTGTCCATATCTTCTTATGGAAACGTTAAGAAATGTTTTACAACTGTTTACCCACACACACATACACACTCTGTTTAATGTGTTTAACAAAGGTAGACCAATATTTGTAAGTTCGAGGTCAAATTTTGATCACAGCTCATAAAATTTTGTTTACTATACTTGTTGATACTTTTTTGAATGACTCATGATTAGACAAATGTTTACAAATCAAGTGATGTTCCTTTTTATATATAAACCTATGTTATGTTAATTTCGATTAATTTCCCTGAAGAAGTTCGGACCAGACTGTCGAACGAAACGTTGGAATTACTCATTTCAATCTCGCTGAGACTTTACAAATATAATTTTTTACAAATGTCTACTTCTCACTCGGCGCCCAAATATTTTAGAACTATTCTGTCAAATCTTGACGACAGTTCATTTGAATATAGGATCATGTTTATCATATATGAATTCACGTATTTTCCATATGACAAATAACATACATACACACACACTCATACAAAACTAATCTATACAAATTAACTATACAAGAGTGAACACAACAACAACTTGACATTAGTCATTACAAAAATATGTGATGACTGCTTACATATTTTCTATTGGTAAAAATGTCCATAGACAAATGACCTTCAAATAAACTGACTTGAATGTATGTAAAATTTTTGACTATATATTTTGATGATTAATAAAAATTCGGAATAAATCTGCTGAAGAAGCTGTGGCTTACACAGCGAAACGTTCAGAAAAATCTTGTTTTGATTTTCTTAACACGCTGGGATTAATTTAAATAATTTATAATGAATCAATCTGACTCGGCGCTCAAATTATTTCAGGAAGTTCGTAACACCTACGGCCTGGAAACCTATAATCAAAATTAAAAGTGTTTTCAGTGAGAGCTGTGTACTAATATGAGAAGGTCAATTAATTCCAGCCTTCATCGGTTACGGTGAATGATACTTTCAAGTGTTGTCCATTTATTCTCATATACAGCACTAGTTGATAAGCAAAGAAGCTAATGCGTTATTTATGTCAAGATGTAGTGTTACATTCCAAGTTTCAGTATTCAAAAAGTGCTACTCGTATTCTCTAACGTGTTTCTCATAATCCAGTTTAACACAGACCTTATGATACTTTGACGCTGTATTTCACAAGGACTGAAATGGTGTATGTAGGTTTATATTGGAAATTGAAATTAATATCCATTACATATTGGAAGTTAATTTACTCCCTGATAACACTTTATGAATTTCTTCTTTTCTTTCAAGACGGCGATCCCGCCTCCAAATGTGGAGCTGGTCTCCTGTAAATCTCCACTTTTGAAAAATAAAGTTACCGCAAACGCCATAACACAATTGAGACTAGTCATCCCTCTCAGACCCTTTGTAAGACAGGACTTTTATTTAAGAATTTCAACGGATTTGACAAAGAGGTACATAATTCTACAACCAAGTACAATCCTTCCAGGCTCAGCGTTAAACTTTGTCAGCGTGACGGAGAAACATTCTGAAACGTTTTACTCGATTACTATAGGCAATGTTTTTTATGAAGGTTTGTTGATATATATATATATATATCTGTGACTTTGCAAATATCTTTTTGTTATTATTATTTTTTTTATATTCCTTCACGTCCCCAGTGGAACTTAGTTAGGGCTTCAAGCTAGAGGCTTAAAGTTTCTGTAGTGGTGGTGATTATTTTTACAGGATGGGTTTGCTAGCCAGTCTCATGCCCAACCTTTCCTGTGTACCAGCTGTTTTTATTACTGGCTTAGCGAGGTAATGGAGGAGTGCGTCGGTGGCCAGGTATCGAACCCCGGATCATGTGCATGGTTGGCGAGCGAACTAACCTCTGAGGCCACCAACGCACTATCTTTTTGTTATAATTATTTGTATTAGTAGTATTTTGCAATGACAGAATTACAGGAAATCAACCATCAACACAGAGAGAGAGAGAGAGGAATTTAGGAATTTGTATTCGGCTACATTATTTGTAATTCATATAATGAATATTAACAAACAACAACAAGTATTGAAACAATGCATTGATAGAAATTGTCAGTGACAACACTTTTGTATTTGTTCAAATGAACTTGTGAACTTGCGATCTTACCTTTGAGTTATCTCAGAACTGTTTCTCCTTAGGAACTTAAAGACAAAAATGGAGTACACATTTTGAGACTTATTTGGCTGAATATCTTCAAACATTGGTTCTCGACATTTACTAGCTATGAGGATGTTTACCTTCACATCTTGGCATGAACACATATTTCATGGATTGTTGTTATTTTCCCACCCGACTATAGGAACACTTTTCTATTTAGCTGAACTTCAGACACCAATTGGCTGGAAGATTTGTACGTCAGTCATTATGCTTCTTAATAGGATATAATTTGAAGTATTGTTGTGTCTACGGGGAACAGTTAAAAAATTGTTTTTAACATAGAATATTATTAAAAAATTTGATTTTTTTTACACATTTCCATTTTATTAGGCTGGAAGAAGGACACACCTTTAACATCATCCCATACAGCACAAAGCCTTATTTATATTTCCGTGAAAGAAAACTACACAGGCCCACTGAATTTTTCTTACATATTGACTACTGGCTCAACAAATATTTCTGGCAATTACATATTCTATACTGATACTCCTGTAGTAAGTTGGACACCATTGCTTATTTGCATCTGTTCTGTATTGTATTGTGATGGATTTCGCCTTCCTTAATTCCCTGAATATCTAGTAAAACTTCTATCGTTGTCTGGAAATAAAATCGAAATCAAATCGATCGTCAAGCGTTACAAGCTATCAAGATACATTCGGTTTTAATTAGAATATATAAAGGGAAATAGGAGAATGCGTCCATCCGCGTGAAGATGAAGTAGTTTGTTGTTATTATTACTTTGTGCATACAGAAATCACCATACCTGCATGGAAAGTCGAACTAATGTTGTATTGGAAAATGTATTGGTTGCAGACACTTATACAAGTAAACGAAATGAGTGAGTTGGAGTCAGATTACTAGTTGAAAGAAGATTGAGCAGTAGTTAAGAAAGGAATCTAGGTATCAGTCAATGATTCAAGTATTATTATTATTTCCTTTAATTCCTTGAGGAACATAGGGCTTCAGCCACACGTCTCCATTGCGTTCGGTTCTCTACTAGAGTCTTCACCTGGCTCCATGTCTGCCCACACACTTTCATCTCCTCTTCACATGACCTCCTCCAAGTCACCCTCGCACTGACGACCAACTCGCCGCTTCCCATTCTGTCGGGTTCCACTCGAGCAATGGCTTGTCTAGTGATGTCACTCACTTGATGGTTTCCTCAGAATATGGCCAGCCAATCCATTTCCATTTCTTCCTGCCTATTTGTTTCACAATCGGTTCCTGCTGTGTTGGTTCGCTCATTGCCAGAGATCTCTGTTGCTGATCAACTCTGGCCGGCCATCTGATCTTGAGTAGTATTGAGCGAAGACAACTGTTAATGAAGGTGTGTAGTTTGTTTGAGATGCTCTTTATGACGCGCAGTGCAAGTCTCTGATCTGTATAGTAGCACTGACTGACTTCACATTGGAGTTGAAAATCCGGATCTTATTTTTCATGCTGAGTGCTGTCTGTTGACCTCCACACAGACTTGAGAGTAGTGAAAGCTTGTCTTGCTTTTCCGATTCTTGCTTTCATATCCTCGTCAGGTCTGTCCGCCTGTAGTTGAAACGATGCTTCCAAGTTAGGTAGGTAAAAGAGGTTGTTTCTTTCAGGTTCCTCCCATTTATTCTGATTGTTGTCTGTTGTTGTTGTTGCTGTTGGTGTGGTTGCCCAGGAATCTTCATCACCCACGTCTGTTTTCTCTGTGTTCACCCGAAGTCGTATCTTCTCTGGATGCTTCTTCTGTCAACTTGTTGCTTTTCGCTTGAATACCTTCCAGTTTGTGGGAAATCAGACATTAATCATCGGCGAAGTCCAGATCCTCCAAGTTTTTTGTGTGAGTCCAAGTATGCAAAATGATTTGAAAAATTGGTTATTCTAAAGATCAACGCAAATTAGTGGATCAAATGACGCATAACAGAGCCTAAACTAATTCAACCACTCACAAATAATTGTGATCAGCTCCAGCTAGCTATTATAAACTTATGAGCTATTCTGTTGTTACTTCTGCAGTATCAAAGGGAGGTGGTTATAAGTGTCAAATCCATGCGATGAAGTCATACGATTACCTTCATATTAACCATGAATAAGAAAGTTCTCCAGAATATTTACTTGGTAAATTATACTTTCCCAATGTGTGATATACCCAACAAACACACAGAAATACACCTGAATTCCACCTTGTTGCCCACAGTCCTACTTTCATAGTAGAATTTTTAGAAACTTTTACAATGAGTACTGTGACACTTTCGTGGAAAAAGAAACAACAACAACTGAAACAGGTCACTTCGTAGCTGTGGACATTACTTTCATTGTTCATTAATTATTTTGTGGAGTTTTGAACTGATGGTAGGTAGTATTTTTAATCAACAGTGCGTATTTTGTCTTAGTCTACTTAAATCTGTTCACTTATGTAACGATTACTCTTATACATCTTCATTGAAATTTCAAATGACTTGTGAAGACAGAGATAAAGTTGATGTTTCAAAAAGTTGCTACGGCCAACCTGGTCTACAGACCAGCTTAAGGTGAATGTTATACGATTGTAATAAACCGGTGCATAACTTGATATGTCCTTTGTGAGACATAAGTATCATAACATTTTGTTGCTTTTTGGCTGTTAGAACAAGAAACTATGTTTTATTTTCTGCAGGTATTTCCAAAAAGTCTTAGTATCCAATATTCGCCAACTTTCACCGACCCAAATGGTTTGTATGGACATATGTGCAGTGGAACGACTTTCGAATTATCAGCATGTCATACATTGCGTGACAATAATTGTGCATATTACACAGCTTGGATTAACCGAATTTCTCCAGGAGTTGGGTCAATGAATGTGACAGGAATGTATTATTCATCATTAGATAGCGGTGTGTACCTTGCAGCAGGTTACCGTTTAAACGTGACTTATGTAAACGAGTACGTTATTTCGATGGTGTTTTCAGTTGTGTTATGCTTTTGTAATGTGAACATACAGCAGAATTCAGTTCTCCTTCCCATGGTCTCATTTCACATGAAGTTTGTAACCTGTTTGATGAACAGAATTCATTTTTCGCCATTATCACAGCCACTCGTTGTTATAATTCTTGCTATTACTTGTAGCTATTTAGTTAGAATAAGACTCCTAGAAATATTTGGTTTTGGTCATTTCATTCGATACGCTATTGCATACCTACATGTCCCGAACTGAGTCCCATCAGCATGCGGTCTGGACATTCTTATTCTGATTTCGCTTGTGTGAAAACAATTTCCCGGCTCTTCGCTGCCATCAGAGATAGAATACTCAAGTTTTAGCTCTTACTGAGCACAATAATTATTCCACTAAACAACCTGGGCAGTCAGATATCAAAGAAACTATCCCTTAACCATTGAGCTGTGTTTCTTGTGACCAGCAAAAATTAGGCCTATTTCCTGTCTGTGACAACCATCTCAGACCTTCAATTAGGTAATATACAGTTTAAACTTGTTATGACCGTTGATATAATGGTATTGTTGACTTCTTCGGTTTGTTACTGAAATGCAATAGACAACTCGACTGATGGTTCAGGATGACTGTTCCTCGTGAATGTCTTCCTTTGCTCGGTGTCCCAGGAAAAATCATTAGAAAAAACTCTTCTGTACCAGTGAGGACAACTAGTTTATCAGACAATAGGAAAACAGCCAGTCTCATTGGTTAAATATCACTTTATAGTGTTCTATGGGATTCTATGTATTCTAGTGGGAATTCGTGACCAGTAAGGTATAGCAAGTCGGTTGTGGGGACAAATACTCGCCAAAGACATTGGTTAGTGGTCGCGCTTTGTGGTGAATTGGCAGAATACTTGAAAACTAATCTGATTGGTTGGAGACTATTTCATTGAAATACTATCACACAATTGCGTCATATGTCCACTGTGTGTGTGAGTTCTTGAAGTGATTCAAAGACGGATTCTAGTGTGTATGTTGACACTCAGCTGGAATCACAAATTTCTATTGAAACATAACTCATAGATATCCTGAGGAAATATGCAGCAGAATACCATAATATAATTAAAATCGTGAAGAAAACCAACACAGGTGCATATGTGATGACGAAAACCAAAGTATTTCGGTCTGGATGCAAGAAATCATTCAATGCCTTCTTCTGTTTAGCTTGCCAAACTCTCACGAGTGACACACAGTCTACAATTATATTTCAACAATAACGAAAAAACACACTTTAATGTGCTAGCATCTCGGATACTATTCAACAATATTAGCATATGTCAAATATATAACACTGCTGTCTGCTAGCTAAGCAGTTTGAAAACTTTCTCGTGTGCAAAATACATATTACACAATAAGAGTAATTGAGCAAACACAATTTCAAATTAGTAAATAATCAATAGGAATATTTTCAAAAACAAGGTGGGATTAAAACTCTGCCTGCAAGAATTAATTAAGTAGTCAACTAGTCAATCCATAACGTGGTCACTCTCTCCTTCACTACTCAGTTTCAAAACAACAACAACAACGCAACAGCAAAAAGAGAAGAATTGGAAATAGAAGTCAACCAAAAACAGAGACAATTAATGGGGATTAAGTGGAAATGAGATATGCGAATGTTAGAATAACGATATACGGGTCAGGCGAAAAGGGTCCTGGGTTCGAATCCCGGTGGGTGCGTACTGCTGAAGAGTCCCAAACTAGGACAAAACAGCTGTCCAGTACTCACAGGTTTTCCAATGGTTCTCTAACTAATGTCAGCTCATGATGAAAATCCTGAAAAGGGTATTAGTTACAGAATTAATTGAAATTATTCTAATAAGTATGAATATTGTAAATGGTTTTTTCGTGGTGGGGCGGGATTTTCCGATGAATTGATTTGCTAGAACCCATTCATTACATCATGAGTGTCAGTCGAACTGTCGATGGCAATTTTTCGAAACCAATAAACAATGCCTAGTCGACTGAAGAAAAAATACTTACTACTAATTTCCAAACAAATATTCACTAAATTCTATTCACAGCACCAAATATAATTTGACGCATTAATAGTCGAGTAAGTGTTGTCATCCCACTGATTCATTGAACATTGATCGACACAATAAACAATGTTTAACGTTCATACAAATCATCAGTCACCTGTGAACTAGCATTATCAACAGGTTTCCTAATATTAGATATCCTAACATTTTATAACAAAGGGATTTCTAGAAATAATTTGCTTTTGTATTTGACAAGTAGAATTTATCCAAATGAAAGACATTCTGAGAATAGTAACTCTTTTCACGGAATTAACACTTTTCTCAAACAAAGCAATAAGAAGACGTAATTTTTCTGAATCGTGTAGTGTTGTATTTGCGAAACACATTTCAAACAATCTGATCCATCACACACGGACTTGTCATAGGAATATACATATGAAATTAATAAAAAGTTGAGAGGTAGGTGAGAAAATAGACTACTTAGGTCAAGTTAAAAGGACACACTGAAAGTCAAAATAACAATGAAGATCACTAAACGAAATAACAGAGTTAATAATACATCTACCCTGGCTGGTATCGAAACAAAACAAAGTTTACCAAGGAAGGCGGTTGAGTGTGATGACGAATTGTTGCTTTGAACGCATAAAGTTGGTTTAAACTTTCTAATTGCCAGCTAGGGGTTCTACAAATTTTAGGCTACACCCCAGATACGTTTTATGGATGGATAGGTTTAAAAGATGTGTTAACGTCAATTTTATGTCCTGTCTCTATAATATGTCTCGCAATAGAGCAGCTAGGTCTCCTGTTCTCACCATTAATGGTTTCTGAAGATTCTATTTGCTTCTGGAGCCATTTAGGACTATGCTCTGAAGCCAGTCCTTACTTGCAGAGATCGATGAATCCTCACTATGTCTGTGTGTCCACACGTAAATTCAAATTGGTAAATACATCGAGGTGTGACACCATTTGTCGCATGTACAAAGGGCTTAGATAGATACATTGGCTTCACATTCTCAATTATTATGATATTAGCTGCATAAAAAGTCTTTTTAACAGCAGCGTACAATGTTTGTCTAGTTATCAAGCTGCTATGATGCCCCATATAGGGTAGGTTGATGTACACGTCCTTCTTAGGGGTGAGTTGGAGAATGGGTCTTGGTGTTCTGACTACGCTATTTCTATCTCCTGATGAACTTGTCTGGATAATTATTATTAACCAGAGTTTGTGTCAATGATGTCACATCCCAATGTATTTACCAATTTGAATTTACGTGTGGACACACAGACATAGTGAGGATTCATCGATCTCTGCAAGTAAGGACTGGCTTCAGAGCATAGTCCTAAATGGCTCCAGAAGCAAATAGAATCTTCAGAAACCATTAATGGTGAGAACAGGAGACCTAGCTGCTCTATTGCGAGACATATTATAGAGACAGGACATAAAATTGACGTTAACACATCTTTTAAACCTATCCATCCATAAAACGTATCTGGGGTGTAGCCTAAAATTTGTAGAACCCCTAGCTGGCAATTAGAAAGTTTAAACCAACTTTATGCGTTCAAAGCAACAATTCGTCATCACACTCAACCGCCTTCCTTGGTAAACTTTGTTTTGTTTCGATACCAGCCAGGGTAGATGTATTATTAACTCTGTTATTTCGTTTAGTGATCTTCATTGTTATTTTGACTTTCAGTGTGTCCTTTTAACTTGACCTAAGTAGTCTATTTTCTCACCTACCTCTCAACTTTTTATTAATTTCATATGTATATTCCTATGACAAGTCCGTGTGTGATGGATCAGATTGTTTGAAATGTGTTTCGCAAATACAACACTACACGATTCAGAAAAATTACGTCTTCTTAATGCTTTGTCTAAATTCACAAAGCGAAATTAGTGTTTTAACCTTTTTTAAATCATGACTTTATTTCTTCGTATTTTATAGTATGATAAGAGCGTCTTACGGTCCCGTATGTGTGCTCTCTGACATAGACAACACAGTAAGTTTTTTAAAAAGGGTGAATATATATTCTGCTTAATTTTATTTTGACAAATATTTCAGTAAAAATGATTAATTCCTGGATAAGAAATATGACTGTAATAAAACACGCTGTATTTGTCAACAGAGAAATAATAATGTACAGCGTATTATTTCACTCTTCGATTCAGTGAACTCATTGAGAATAGTCTTTGGAAATTCTGTAAGTACTCTTGTAAGGCGCGCCGGTGCCACAGCAGTAGAATGATCGCTACCCACGCAGGTTGTTCGGGCTTCGACTGCCGGCCACCGACGCACTCTTCCATTACCTCGCTAAGTCAGTAATATGACTAGTAGAGAGGGAAGACTGGGCATGAGTCTAGCAATCCCATCCAGTAAAAATCAGCACCACTGCTACAGAAACTTCAAGCCTCCAGCTTGAAGCCCTTTCTATGTTCCACTGGGAACGTAAAAGAATAGAAGAAAACTATTGTGTGAGAGTCTTGTTTGGGAATTACAGACTAAAGGGTTTAAATCTTCAGTAAAAACACAGGTAATGTTACTCCATTCACAATGGCATTCTGAGTAATGTTACACAAATTTCTCCTTTCACGGAGATTGAAAGTACCGTGAGAAAAGTAACTGTTAAAGCAGTGAGGAGGATATGATTATCGGATGATTGATTTTGGTGGCAAAGCATTCATATCTCTTCTGGACAAAATCTTCAGTGCTAAGTTCATTGTGAAGTCGTTTTATTTACAACTTCATCGACGCTGTTTCCATACACATGAAATGCAAATGTCAATTTTCTGATGAGTAGGCATTTTTGACTGACATCAGCATTAGCTTAGGAAAGGAAGAGTCACACATTTGAACTTCATAAGACACTATGCAGAAATTGACTAAAATTTTGTTACAAATCACCATTCAAGAAAAGAAAAACGACGTCAGATTAAAATTCGATTGCCTTTTACTAAAGAAATCATCCACATCTATAGAGAACTTGGAAAATGCCTTATACAACTTATTCATCCTTCATGAGAAATCTACTCCAACAAAAATCTCAAAATTGTAGAATTCAACGTGAACTTACTTCATATTGACTCAAAATTGGCACATGCGTCCCACTACGTAATTCTGTTTACCGCAATGTTTTATTGAACGCTTTGGCTTTGAAAGGCAGCTTGAAATGAGTTCGTTGATCTAGGAATGTATATTAATAATAATAATAATACTGCACTAAAAGATAACATCTTAATGCACATGAAAAATTTACACTTTTCAAATGTAATCCAGACATTAATTAGCGTATTTCCTTCTACATGGCTAATTCTCTCGACATTTTGCATTTCGTAGATGTGTAACCTCTGGTATATGCAATTAATGGGCGATTGTAACCAAACAACGACGTATAACTTTGCATTTCCAGTACAGGTTGAGATCAGTGGCAAACAAGGCAACATAAGTGTTGAAGATGTTACATTCACTTTCCAACCAGTTACTCCTGTCTTCAGCGAAGTAAGCCATAAGTTAGATAAAACAATTCCACTGTGTATTCGTTATTATTAAATAATCCAATCATAATAAGAAGTGACGGGGGGGGAGATTTGTAGTTCAGGTAGATGCTGTGGGTGTAGTTGCGCACGCTTACCTATATGGTTCATTAGAAAGCTTTTACTGCCTTCCGAGATAAAATCTTCAACATTCATTTCAATTCGAAGTGAGATTTCCGATTCTACACGAGTTCATTAACCATCTCTCTCTCCCTTTCTAGGTAACTTTGAACGTGATTGGTTGTCTCAAGACTCCCTCTCAACCTCTTGTTCACTTTTATTGGGATCGAATATTTTGTTGACCTGATAGTTAACGCTTTCCCACTTATGACTTCTATTTTGTCGTCTGACAAATCTCTTCTATATCAGTGTATCTATGGGTTGTGGATTCATCTGAGTTCCAGATTTCTGGCGATTCCTTACTATTCTTGATATTTCCTCAATCTGAGATGTGTTCATCTTCTCAGTCAAATCAGTGTCCGTAGTTGTCTAGATGTACTGATATAATGTTTTCTGAAAACTAGTTTATGTTTAACGATGTGAGAACATAAAAGAGGATGTCCACTTTGACAAATAAAATGTTCGTTTCCATAGTTATTGAATTCTGAGTTGATGATGTCTAGAAAGTCTATAAAACCTGAAATAAACCATGCAGCTCAGGAAACACAATTACAACAATATCATCCACTTCATTATGATCGAAAATGAGAAGGCTTTGCGAGCAGCGAATGACATTTTTCCTTTTTTTCGATGAATGCCTCCGTCGTCAAATTTCGCTAACCAGTATCAGGTACAGACCATAAATCAGGTATCCAATGGAATTGAAATCAGCCGAACAATGCGGAATACAAACAGTCAGACTAATGATCACAGGTGGACACTATCGGGTCCCAAAACGCCAAGATGTGATCGACATGCAAAATGAAAAAAAAGAAAAGACTATTAGCTTAGAGCACTGATGAATGTTGACAGATCAGATGGGATCGCCAAAAGGACTACACGAAGAGGAAAAATTAAATGTTTCCAATGATAAATCAACCAAGACTATAGATCAGCAAACTGAAAGGATGCTTGTTCAGTGCGTGGTCAATTCATAAAACAACTACTGTCAAAAATGTAATAACGAACCCTCTAAAAGCATCGTATTATAATTCTGGTGATGTTTCAGAAACAGATTTTCTCGCTGCTCCAGAATCCCTACTCAAATCATGAAGATTAAACAACTATACCTGTGATCGAGAAGAAAAAGTACTATACTTTACTCATTTCGCAAGAGGAAGAGCCTGTTAAAAAGCTAAAACATAAAAAGGACATCATTGCGCCACAAGCAGACAAAGAAAGAACCACAGTACTTATAATTAATGAAGTCTAAACCACAAAAGCGTAAGACCTACTCAAAGAAACCTACGAATACCAACAGCTCACTGCAAATCTTATCCGAACCTTAGACAAGTGAATCCATAGGACCTTATGCAAACTCGTCAGAACAGGTCAAATCACTGTGTAAAATCAGTAACTAATTAAATCGAACGGACCAATTTTCCTCCTGTTTAATGGTGGACCAATGTTTGCACCACCCAAATAACCTCCCCCGGCTATTCATCTCATTCTCAGGAAGCCCACCACAAACGTTGTCCAAGGAACTCTACAGAAAACTAAAGTGTATTATGGAATCCTGGGGTCATTGCATCAAATCAATTTCTGGAACGAAACAAAGACATTCAAATAGATGACCATGAAACTATGGCAACTTCTGCTGTCACAGCAATACACTGACAAGGAAGCGGTGAAGCAGCTACTGAGCAAAGACAAATACCTGTTGAAACACTCAAAAATACAATTCTCAAATTAGATAAAATGTATAGACTCATGTCCAATAGCATATTTTCAGTCCAATCGTCAAATACATTAACAAATGAAAATGACACCTATGAGAACGCCCATATCAGGAATGGTTGCTGAAGCTGTAACGATAGTTAGAGGGGACAATTTACAAAACATACACAACTCGGTAAACAAGATTTTCGACGACATCAGCATTACAACAGAAGAGGAATCTAGAGATGAAATTCCGTTTTTAGACATCTCGGTCAAGCTAACAAACACTGGAAAATTTGAAATTCAAGTACACGGAAAAATTGCATTTACAAACGAAATACCCAGTTACAACTGCATCAACCCAACACCACACAGAAAGCAGTTGTATACAAACAGTACTCAAAAGCCAGAACACATTGCAGCATTCCTACCTTGAATAAATTGGGAGAAATCGCTTATGATCAAATTACATAGAAATGGGTATACACGACACTCTAGAAAAAGATGCTTACTCTTAACCCAAGTTATTGACTAAAAGTCATCTGATAAAAGCCTGCAGAGTATCGTTCTTACATAAAGGAAGAATACCTCTGGGATAACTAAAAGACTGTTGGAAACCATGGGATGCTGAACAGTTAATTCTTCCTAGTTTGGGAGAAACATTGGCTATGATATATGCTGAAACCAAAGTTGAGAACATCATATTTGTCAAAGTGGACATCCTCTTGTTTGTCTTCACATTCTTAAACACAAACTGGTTGTCAGAAGACATGACATCCATTCCCTCATATCAACACATACAGACAACTACGGACACTAATTTGACTGAGAAAATGAACACATCTCAGATTGAGGAAATATCAAGAATGGTAAGCCATAGATACACTGATATAGATGAGATTTGTCAGACGACAAAATAGAAGTCATAAGTGGGAAAGCGTTAACTATCAGGTCAACAAAATATTCGATCCCAATAAAAGTGAACAAGAGGTTGAGAGGGAGTCTTGAGACAACCAATCACGTTCAAAGTTACCTAGAAAGGGAGAGAGAGATGGTTAATGAACTCGTGTAGAATCGGAAATCTCACTTCGAAATGAAATGAATGTTGAAGAAGGCAGTGGAAGCTTTGCAAATTAACTGTGCCTTTGTACCTTTGTACAGCTGTACTGTTTTAACATGTTGTTCGTTAACTTCTACCTGTGCAAGCCTCAAATAAGTGAGTGAACACGGTTTTGTGACTGGTCAATATGCAATTTTCTTTGTTATGGATCATAAAACCCTCCTTCAGGACACCATAGCATCTTGAAACCAATGGTTAGATAAGTGAGGAAGAAGCATTGGTCGTAAGTAAATTTTATTTGCCAACACAGTACTCTTGTCTATTATTGTTTAATTGGCACGTTTTATGTGTGGTTTCATCAGAAACATTAAACTTCTAAGAAAAAACATAAACCACTAATGCCTAGGGACACTGAATAACATGTGGTGCTCCATCAAATTTGAAATAATATGACGCTTAGCATACGACATCCTGAATTCCATGTCTTTAATAAGGTGAATTGAACCACAATAAATTGCCTTATATTTCCAATGCAGTACCTTAACGTCTTCAGAACGATTTTAGCTTCTGACTAACTAGTCTTCTCAAATATTGATGATCCACCTTCTTCACTTTTGTACTATGCCTTAAAGCCAAACTACCAAACACTAAACTGACAATAAATCAGTTTGCGAAAGACAGACTTCGACTGCACTACCAGCTTCATTAATGGAAAATTTAAACGGAGTCTTTAAGAAGTTAGTTGCATGTGGTCTAACAACAGGTTGTAACGATCGTCAGGGTGAAGTCATGAACACTTTACTCAGAATACTGCAAAATTCATTCATTCAATCATTTATTTACCCAAAACTCTGAAATCTTGAAGACCATTCAACTTGTGTATTTGAATTTTAAATAAGTGAATATTTTTTCCCCTTCAGATGACAATTGAACTAACTCCAACTAACATGACCTTGCAACCAGGTGAAATAGGAAATTTCACCATAAAATATGCAATTCCACTCTATACTAGCTACACGAAATTCACTGTGAATGTCAATTGTTCTGGAAATACATTTAATAACGAGGCTATCTTGACGGTGAAAGGATTCCAAGTAAATGTGGGTTCCAATTTAGCTAATGCAACCAGTGCCTACTCATTCAATTATTCGTCAAGTTACAAAACTGGCCAGCTAGATCAACTGACAGTATATTTTGACCAAGTTATCAACAGTGGTAAGTTTTCTTAAAAATCAAATTTCAGTCATTTTAGCTGTGGTAAACTGTCTCATTTGTAGGGCTTTTCCAGTTGTTGTTGTTGTGATGGATTTACCTCGATGAACACTACTGATAAAATGCAAGATTTTCATTTTCCGTTTATCATGTACTGGTGATTGTATTCCATCATTATTTTCAATATGGCCACCTGAAGCAGCTAAGTCAACTGACAATACTCTCCGAACATGAATCAACCAAAGGGATTTCAGCAGAAGACTTCAGATTCAGTGTGTTTCTATGATTTATGTGGAGTAAAGTAGATAATGTGTGTGAAATGGTTGAGTGTCTTCTGTGGAACACCTTTTGACTAAAGACTTATTGTTATTATCATTATTGTTGTAATTATCACTATTATTATTATTATTATCTCCAACACTGTTTCACAGCTACTGCTCTTGGTCCTTTGACACGAAATACTCTCTCCATAACGGTGAACATTCAGCTGAGTGATAGCCAACGTGCAGAAATCGGTACTACATGGCCCTTACAATTCACAAGTACATTTACAGATACAAGTACTATTACAAGATACAACACGTCCTACGTGACGTGCAAAAGAACTGGTTTTGAGAGACCAATAATTCAGTTTGCACTATCTCAACTCTCAGTGAACACACTTCAGGATTGTGTAGACAGGTTTGTTTGAACGTTTTAGGATGCATTATAATGTATTTTGATATGAAGACAGCTGGGCATCCATGATGCCAACATCTCATAACTGTGACCAGTCAGTGTATTAATTAATCGACTAATGTGCTCGTAAATGTTCGCCTTCAGTGACTGGAACTTATTACAGTTCTAGAATACTATCTGAAGTTTGCTGATACACCAAAGTCTTTCTCCTTAGAGATATCTCTTTCAATCGATAGCCCTGTAAACCTAATGTTTTAAACTCTAATTCAACAGATTGTATGCAGTCGACTTTACAATTACAACGTTTCAACCCTGCTTCCAAAAGTTATCCATTTACATGTACCATGTCGTATAATAATTAATAATAATAATATTGGCTTTATAGCAAAGAGCACATTGGGTACAATGTGGAATTTTCAGCATGTAGTACAATATTGTGCCTGATTTTCTCGTTACATTACACTAACAGAACATTTGTAGTATTAATAATATCAATAGAATATTCAACATAAAATTAACACTAAAAGTTAATAAAAAAAATGGCGGTAACCGTAGATTAATAATAATGATGAGAAGAAGGAGAATCGAAAGAGCAGTTGATTCACTGTTTCTCATTAAGTCAATAGTTCTATCTATGCCTAACACTTTTCTCATTACACAAAATACGTCCCAAATAAGGTATAATAGAGTTTTATATTGAGTCATGTGAACATAAAGTCTTATAATTGTTTCATTTACTTCTTGATAGGATGCAAGGAGAGAGTTGTGAATAAAGAGGGTGCTGAAAGTTCGACTAAATGAATTTTACCAACTTTTTGCATGAGTTGAAATGTCTGTCCACATCAGTAATAAAGAGTTGGCTTAGGATCATACGGCTCACCCTACTGACAGCATTTTAGTGCCCAGGAAAGATGAAGGGGGAGAAATTACGAGATGGTAAGGCAGAATGTAATTGTAATGACAAGTAAACAAAAATGTAGAGGCTGAGTATCTGATGCACTTCTAAACTTTGCCGAGTTGATAGGAAGCCAAGTAAAGAGGGAAGGTGTTGAGCGTGCGGCTTAGCGACCCTATCAGGTAAAAATAGAAGCCACTTCTACTGAAACTTCAAAGCTTAAAGCTTGAAACTGTCTGTTCCATTGGGAACCCAAAGGGATAAAATAATAAAAAGGCTGAGTGATACTTCCTTACACAGAAGGTTAGATCGAAAATGTCTTTCTAGTAATCAACAGGATGTGGAAAGATGAAGAATGAACAGAAGAAAGACTTACCTCCAGACACTTAACATTCGATGTTAGTTTCAACTCCATTGCCCTCTTATCAAAAGAATCATGGGAATGAACCAGTTCATGTAAATCTCATTTGTATCTGAACGTGAAATTATCACTTTGACATATCGGGGGATTTAGCTTGAGACCTTTCGACAAAGACCACTGACTAATTTCTGATTAAAAGTTGTTCATTTTAGAACAGTCTGATCGGGAAGTAACGGGCATGGAAACAGTTAGATCATCGTCACAAATAACACAATGTTGCAAGTCATGTAAGAAGAAAGGAAATAGAAAAGGGTAAAGAACAGCACCTCGAGGGATACCAGTTACAGAAAGTTAAACATTGGATGACTTTCCTTTATATAGAATGTACTGCTGCCTATCACAAAAATAAGAATACAATCATTTTTCAATCCAGCATTCGACCTGTCTCACAGGAAGCTTGTCCAACAAAAGAGGTCTAGGTGCAGAATCAAAGGTAGATGTATAATCCATGAAGGCTCATTGAATATATTCAGTATCAATATCAAGATTTTAGATAGTGACGACATCTAAATTACATACCTACCATACTCCTAGTAAAATTGTTTTCGGTCGTTACAAATTAAAATGGTTAACCCAATAGACCAGTGGTTACGCCTCCGACTGCAGCACTGGATGACGCGGGTTTGAGTCTCAGAAGGGACATGAGTTCCTTCAAGCTTGCAGATACACCTTGCTGACGACTGCCAACTAGCGTGAAACCTAGGTTCAAGGCTTCGTGCCGATTGCTCCCAACCATCTAATATCATCAACTCAATGTGCAACGATATGGCGAGCTGCCTAGACTGGTGGCCACATTGCAAAGCTGACTGATAGAATTCAGTCTGCACCAAAGAAAGGACTAGACACTTCCCACTCGTTACTAGTGTCTAATCAAAGACTGCAGTTCGTTAGCATAGTATCATTTATAGAAATATCTGTGACTGAACTAAGCATTGAATGAATATGTTTGCACAATTGGTACTTATTAATGTGGCTGTGTATTTTGACAGTAAAAGTAATATTAGATCTTTGTGAGATAAACATTATTATTATTGTATCCTTTAATTCCTACAGGAACATAGGGCTTCAGCCACACGTCTCCATTGCGTTCGGTTCTCTACTAGAGTCTTCACCTGGCTCCAAGTCTGCCCACACACTTTCATCTCCTCTTCACATGACCTCCTCCAAGTCACCCTCACACTGACGACCAACTCGCCGCTTCCCATTCTGTCGGGTTCCACTCGAGCAATGGCTTGTCTAGTGATGTCACTCACTTGATGGTTTCCTCAGAGTATGGCCAGCCAATCCATCTCCATTTCTTCCTGCCTATTTGTTTCACAATCGGTTCCTGCTGTGTTGGTTCGCTCATTGCTAGAGATCTCTGTTGCTGATCAACTGTGGCCGGCCATCTGATCTTGAGTAGTATTGAGCGAAGACAACTGTTAATGAAGGTGTGTAGTTTGTTTGAGATGCTCTTTATGACGTGCAGTGCAAGTCTCTGATCTGTATAGTAGCACTGACTGACTTCACATTGGAGTTGAAAATCCGGATCTTACTTTTCATGCTGAGTGCTGTTGACCTCCACACAGACTTGAGAGTAGTGAAAGCTTGTCTTGCTTTTCCGATTCTTGCTTTCATATCCTCGTCAGATCCGTTCGCCTGTAGTTGAAACGATGCTTCCAAGTTAGGTAGGTAAAAGAGGTTGTTTCTTTCAGGTTCCTCCCATTTATTCTGATTGTTGTCAGTTGTTGTTGTTGTTGCAGTTGGTGGTGTTGCCCAGGAATTTTCATCACCTCTGTTTTATCTATGTTACGGACATTCCATGTCCCCACAAAGACTTTTTCTTTTGTCTCAAGGAGATACATCGTGCTGAAGTTTCTGTAGCAGGTTTGTTTACAGGGTGGGGTTGCTAGCCTCACGCCTGAGAAGGGGGGTTGTTACATCAATTTATAATTTAGAGAGAAGCGACCTTGTGGTTGCTCCCCTTAAAAAGTGAGATAAACATGATTTCGACTAAGTCTGAGAGAAAGCAATTCACTCAGACTTACTAGAGCCTAAGCCTCTTCTCAGTTGCTCAGTAAACAGTTCATTTTCCATTCACAGTAAGCTCACATGATGAAATCTGTTAGTAAAACACAAGTATCATGTAAATTCCAAACAATCCTCCCGCTATTATTTCACAGCTAAGTTAACTAAGAAACACATGTGGAAATTTTGTATGCTTTCGTTAAAATTTCCTTGTTAATTCCCAAGGCTGTGTGATGTTTGTTAAATTAGTCAGCCTATTATTACATTAGCCATCACCACTAACCTAAATTTTCCACTTTTACCCAAAGTCATTCATGGTGTAACTGATTTTCTTTTAAATCCTGCATAGATATCTGGTCTACATTCAAACTTTAGTTCAAATGAACAACGAGACTGGATTAGAATGCGAAACACAGTCGATATTTTTCTACTTTGGTTCACCAGTGGAGTCAATCAATGTGTTTAATCAAACAGGGAATAATAGTGAAATATTGACGAAAATCCCTCTGGATCCTACGACGAGAGCGGTTAAATTTTCAGTAAGTTCACCGAAACACATCAAATGCTTACTAATGGATACACATGGAGTGTTCCAACAGTGTCCTCAGTGGAACTGTTACAACAAGTATCAGCATGAATGAAAATTCCTCTCAAACGTTATATGTTTTAGCCTTATACGTTGAACTACAGTAATAGTTTGTCATGTTGAATGACATTCAACCGGTGCCACTCTTATGTTTACAAGTGTAAATTGTATGAATATCATTTTGAGCTAGCTTGAAGTTTCGGTAGCAGTGGTGTTTATTTTTACTGGGTGGGGTTGTTAGCCTCATGCCTAAACTTCCGTCTTCACCAGTCTTATTACTGGGCTAGCGAGGTAAAGGAGTGAGTCGGCCGGGGATCGAACCCGGAACCATATGAGGCGTGGTTGGCGAGCATTCTAGCTCTGTGCCACTGACTCACTTTGTGGAAATGTAGTAAGTTTCAAAGCAGATTTCAACGCCATCCAACACCATTAAAAAATAAATGACAGTTCAGAGAAGAAAATCTTTTTTATCGACGAAAGCATCTTTCTTCAGAGGCTGTACAGTCGCATTTATATTTACCAAAAATGCATAGTGGTCTATTATTGAGTAATAGAAAGTGAAATAATTGATATGATTACTTAGAAGTGGCTTTAAATGTAGAAATAAAAGTTGTAAAATACGTAGTACTCAACAGTACAAAGGAAGAGAGCGTTAGAAATTCGATAAGGTTAATATTGGTATTGAGTGAGAAGATAGGAAGTTGAGTGTCCATTTAACAAGTGTGAAGATTTTGAGGAAACATGTGAAAGGAACATGTGAGAGTGATAATAGTGAATTAAGTATTAAAGCAAAAGCAAATTAATCATTAAAAATAAAAAATTTACAAGGAACGACTAGTAAAGATGTTAAGACTATGGTGGAATAGGGGACTGGACCAACTTTTTCTGAATACGGAGTTCGGGGTTGTATTGACTATTTGCCAACGCCTTTGTCATACATGAATGCTGAAACTTGACGCCCTTTCTACCATTTGGTCTCACCTTGTAGATAATCTTGAAAGACGACTCTGGTGGAGCTGCGCCACTTGAGTTCACCAAGTGCTCGAGAATTGAGCTAGTAACTGTCTTTCATTGTCTTTTTGCTAACCATGTCGGATAATGTTCAGAGATGCGTTGGGAAAGTGTGCAGCCAATGTAACTAGCTCCGCAGAAACAAGTGAATTTATAAACACACATAAAAAAGGCCCAAAGCGGCAGTTTATCCTTCACACATCCATTGATCACTCATCGGCTGTTAAAAACTGATCCGAAAACAAGGCTTTTCTCTGTGATCTGTATCACCTTCAAATTAGACCTTCATAAATGGCAGTTTCTTCAGCACTGTCTGGGTTCTTTCGGACTTTTGCTTTACCTTCATGTTTTACACGATGAATCCTGAAGAATATCCGTTTTCCATGTGGACTTGTCTGTGTTGCTCCAGTTCCCCATCGACTGTATCATTGGTACATATCCTTCTTATTCTTGAGGACAAGGAGTGTATCAGACTTCTCTTCCTTCTCAAAGGGAACTGATTATGAAAATTCGTGTATTGACCATTCCATGTTGGTTTTCTGTAGACTGATCTTTGAAGAGAACCGTCAGGTCTTCTTTTTAGAAAAACACCCAAAAAATGGAATTCCGAGTTAATCTCTAATTCTTACGTGAACTGGATGGCATGATGGCAGTTGTTAAACTCCTTAGTTAGTATTCTCGTCACATATGATGAAAGCATTATTCATATATCTTCGGTACATATGGAAACTATCGATAGTGGGTTGTAACATATTATTCTCTACACTTGCCAAGAAGCAGTCTGTAAGTGAAGGAACAAACTGCGATCTCATCGCCACCCCACGTCTTTGTCTATAGAGCGTATTGTTGAACGTGAAATGGACATTTAAAGCTCACCTCAATAGTACTTCCTTCAAGTAGTGGGTCGGAACACTCACGTCTACATTATTATCCTCAGTCAGTACTTATTTATACATTCGACTTGGTGGCTGGTGTCACGAATTCTCATTCACTCGGGCTCTGTAATACTTGTCCGATTGATTTCAGCCAGAAAGCATGTTGTTAAGTTTATTTATACTGAAGACTTATGCTTCTAAGAATAAATTAATCCCCACTGACAGGCTATTGCAAATGTGTTAGGATGGGAGTATGCATATCGTTAGTCTGCCACTTGATTCGCAAACCGTACCTTTGACATCAACGCGCACTAAACGTCACGTTGTTGGATTTTTATTAGTGAATGCTGTCCAGCAAGAGCACAGTTTGCACATCTTAAACTATTAATTTATTTCTTATGTAGAATGGTTCTATAATTACCTATTATTTCTAATCATACTGCGTTTTCTACGAAGAAATAAATCTTGGCTTTTTCAAACAGTCTTCTGCGTCTTTCTCAGTGTGAGAATAGTATTCCAGTGCATATGGACGATCACATACTGTTGTGTGTTAAAGTAACAGTAGGAAGGTATTCCAAACCCGGTATCTACAGTGGATCCAACAAGATGTGACTAAACAGCAAAATTATTTGATAACTGGATATTCCTCGGAGAAAATGTCATCAGGAGAGAAAAACTGTAGACTTCACATTGTACCCAGACTGTGTTGTCCACAAAGACTCTCAAAGAATTAACTGCTATATTATACAATTAATTTTACTCAGGAAAAATGTACTTTCTAATTCTACAGCTCACAGCTTTCAAGATGAGTATACTTCGTCCTTTTAACTGTTTTAGTTTGAAAAACCGGGAACAGAATATACTAGATATCCGAATAAGGGGGTGGAACTCTCTTTTCGCGCGTATGGTTTATTGATCGATAGCTGAAAACAGACAAACAAACAAAACCAGGCACCTTCGAATATTTTAACAAGTGTTTGTGCTGATGTGTATAGAATAATTCGAATCATCAGATCATCAACGAGAGATGTGATTCTGTAGATACACCAAGGCAGTTGACAAGTGGATACCTTAATTCGAGGACTGATAAAATAATTTGGAGATTATATATGTAACTTGTTTTGCAAATCTTTGAAATCCCAACTGTTCATGCACATTGATTATAGCAATAATTTGAATTTATAGATAATAGTGTACTGATTTCACAAAAATTGTTTCCATACCACCTTGATAATGAGGATCTCGTGAAGGTTGATATTCAATTATTCTATGTCAGTAGGAAGAAACTATGGAACACCTAAATGATGAATCCTTTCAGAAATCCATCCATGACATGAACAATTTACTAAATTTCACATTTTGTTTTATATCACTTGATTTCGAGGGTAAATTATTCAGAGTCTTTCTTTATTGACTACCATTCACTCAGTCAGTGTATTCTAATCAGAAGAGTTATTGATTTTTTTGTTCCAAAGGTTGGTCCTTTATATTTTGGTCAGAAATATTCAGTTGTATTTCAAGTGAAATATCCAAAATCTCTTCGTCCTCCTGTCGTCAAACTTCCTGTCCTGGTTGAAGTTGTATGCAAACCCTACGAGCGTAGCAGTGCCTTCACAAATAGATGTAAGAAGTCAAAATTCTTCAGATTCATGTCTCCAATAAGCGTTGAAATTGACTACCGTATGCATACTTGTGAGTTTTCATGGATATATTTCCTTTTTATTCATAACAAATAGATTTTATTCGAACAAAACAAAAGTGCATAATCCACAATGACCTCATAGGGTGAAATGAGAGAAATTTCGTCGCCTCTAGCAGATGTGTTTACTCCAGGCGAGGTGTTTGGAGTAAACACAGGAGTCAGACAAGGGTGCTTATTATCACCAATGATATTCCTAATTGTGGTGGACAGACTGGATTATGCGTCGTCAGACAGTGGGAAACGAGAAGACAGGGATATCCTGTCCTGACCGACGTGAAGAACCTAGAAGACCTGGATTTCGCGCGTGGATGATTTATGTTTGATGTCACACAAAATCGAAGACTTACAAGCGAAAACCGACAAACTGGTCGAAGAAGCAGCCAGAGAAGACAGGACTGCAGGTGAACATAGACAAGACAGAGGTTATGAAAATAACCAACAACAACAACAACAGCAGCAACATCCAGCGCCAATCACCATCAACGGGAGGGATTTGAAAGAGGTTACTTCATTCACTTCACTATCTAGGGAGCATTGTCTCAACTACAGGCAGGTGGAACGGACGAGGATGTCAAATCGAGCGAGAATCGGGAAGGCGAGAAACACATTCATCAACCTGAAACCAATCTGGAGATCTTCGTCACTCAGCAACACTCAACAACAAAATTCAGATTCTCAATACAAACGTCAAGTCACTTCTTCTATACGGATCAGAAATTTGGCGGGTCACAAAGAATATTTCCAACAGCCTGTTGCAGAGCTTTATCAACAGCTGTCTTCGTTCTATACTCAAGATCAGATGGCCGGAAAGAATCACAAACAAGAAGCTATGGGAACAAACAAAACAAGAACCAATCGCTCAACAAATATGCAGGAGAAAGTGGAGATGGATTGGACACTCGCTGAGGAGGCCGTTGGGTGACATCGCGCGTCAGGCCATGGCTCGAGTGGAACCCGAAAGGGAAGCGGCGAGTGGGACGTCGGTGCAAGCGTAACATGGAGGAGATCGTGTGAAGAAGAGCTGAAACAGTATGGATTAACATGGATGCAAGTGAAAAGTACAGCAGAAGACAGAAGCAAGTGGAGACATGCAGTTGAAGCCCTATGTTCCACTAGGAACCCAAGGGAACAATAATAATAATAATACTAGTAGATGGCGGCGTGCTGAGGATGTAAATATACTCGGCTCAGTGTGAATTAATCCACTTCTAAAATCGGTTTGTTTGGAGCACTGAATGTAAGCAATGATGATATGATGACACATGGAAAGATTTGAGCATCGTGACTTGACTTAAGTTCTATTCAACGAAAAATACTGAAATGTGTTTTATGAAAAAAAATTTCCACCATAGGGTTTCATCAGACAATCGATTCTGAAGTATTTCTGTCATTTATGGTCAATAATGCACACTGGAAAACTAAATTCCATGCAGAATATATAAACAATGTTTTACATAGATTTCTTCATTTGTACTGAATAGGTGGAAGTTGTGTACATTCGCCAGTCGCACAACTTCACTTTTATAATGAGTGCATTCACTGCAGACATTATATGCAGTATATTGATTCCAGTAAATACTAATAACCTTACTCTAGGGAAACATACATCTTCGTATTAAGTATTTGTGTAAGGTGGATAGGTCAATACTGCATTCGACTCTTCATCATTCGATTCATGAAAACATACGTGATTTCTTATTTGCAGATCCATGCGACTTACCCCATTATATTGCAATGAAGAATCCCAAAGTACCGTTGTTGAGTAGTCGACTGACTACATTTCTGAATGTTGGTGATCGACTTTTTTATTGTGGCCGTGTGCTTAATTGGCAGTTATCATTTGAAGAGCAAAGACGATGCTTCATGATCAGTCCATTACCCCAAAGAATATGGTCAGGTGAGTGATTTTGTTATTCTTCAGATTCTCTGTTCACTGCTGGTAAATTCAACCCATGTTTGGTTACAGGAATTCATCATGAGCTGCCATCGGTTAGAGAACCATTAGAAAACCTGGGATTACTGGACGGCTGTTTCGTCCTAGTTCGAGACTCTTCAGAGCATGATGAAATCCTATAACCAATCAATCAAATCCCTACAAACCAATGCTTGAAAAACAATCCATCTTCGTTGTTATTTATTTCTGTTGAAATCTGATCTAGTTCACTTTGTCATCAGACAAAGTAGGATATATAGATAAGGCTGTGAGTGAAGCATCTTTCTCGCACATTTCTATCACACACACAAAAAAGAAACGTAATTCAGCGATTTTAAGTTAGTGAGACACATACGCATGATTCATTCTTATCATCTTCGTTCAATTAAACCGTGCATTCTGAATAAATTCCAGAATACGTGCACGTATGTGTTGAAGGATAACTGGATTTCTAACATACAATATCTTCCTACGATAATTCGGACTTCTGTGCTACATTACACTGCCAGTTCCTTTGCCTCTCATTTTCCTGCTCTCTCTGTCTCAAATCCCCATACAAAGGTGCAGAAGTTAGCTGAGCGACAAAGTTACATTGGCATGATGGCTTAAGGTCATTTAAGTAGTTGCCTCCAGTCCCAGTATAGATATTTAGGCGTATACCTTGGCCAAAATACTTTCACTGTCAGACTGTACATGACCGAGGAGCAAAGTAGAAGCAAATATTGGCGTTCACATGAAGATTGACACCCGTAAAAACAACTCGACACTATACGCATGAGACCAATTTTGTTCATTGACTCTTGACATCCCACATTTAAACTTTGTATTATTCATCAATCAATAAATGAATGCTGAAATCAGTGCATTATTATTTGATAGTGCTGCCTTTCAAATGAGTAGATGTCAGTGAAGTTTTATGCAAGCTTTTGTTTCGGTTATGTCGATAACAGTATGTGAGTATTTACTCACCAGTCATTCGTATAACAGAGTTCGAGACTCGAAACGATCGACAGCACATAGTTTTTCGGATGTATTAGTCGTTGTCGTCGTTCTCGTCCTGAGTTAGAACAACTTGTTCGATTAAGGAAGTCACTACTCTTCCCTATTAATAGAGATTACCAGTCAGAAATGCACATCATATTGAAAAGTTAAACAGCTAAAGGAGAATAAAACAAAATTGTCATTTGAAATAGAAAAGAGCAATTTAAGGGTGAAATGAGGACAGTTTAATAATATATGCCAATCAGAAATTTGGTATCCACAACTTTTGACCATTACTTGACTAACACTTTGCACCTCTTCATGAATCGATATTTTTGCTCAAATTCTTTCAACATCGCCTGGTCGGGATGGTTCTAGATCCACTTCTCATCTACAAAGACATTTATCCGGATAAATTTTTTTACTAGATACGAAGTCATTACATTGCACTGATTCCTCTCTTTCTAATGGCTGGTTTTACTAGTAATCACCAGAGTAGATCTTCATATTTAAGATCTTTCGTTCTATATGTCTGTACTGCAATGACATACTCACTCATGTCAGGTATTTCTCATGCATTTAACTTGAAAAGTTATAGCTAAATTTTGAAGATATTATCTACCGATATTTCGATAAATTACCAGATATGGGACCAAGTGTCGCACAAATCTTAGCATACGACAATTCGTCAGGTGCCCTACTCGGTTTGGGAGCCAACGGTGGAGGGGCATTAAAGAGTCTGAACTTTGGGTTAAAATGGATTGTAGTCAATTCATTTGAGTATCAAAGAATTCTGAATGCTTCAACACAAATAATCACTGCGAGTGTCACACCTTGGATTTCATTGACGGGATCCTATGACAATTCAACTATTGAGTCGTCTTGCAGTCTTAGTGTGTTGGGGCAGTGGAAAGGTAAGCGACATAATATCATAAGTATACATAATCATTATATGTAGTGTGTCATTCCTAGTCTAAGAGACGTCATGTTGTTCGACCTTGTCGACTTCCCACAGATTTGTTGTCTTGAGATATTCGTTCATTCGAAATGTTTAGCTTCTTTATTCTATGATTGTTGAAAATCAAATGACAGCATCAGACTTCCGTTTTTTTCAAAGAAAAAGCACCTGTTATTGGACTTGAAAGTACTCAAATAATCTGCATTGAATAATAAAGACTGTAAAACACTTCAACATTCTGAGTCTGTGGTGATACAAACGGCAACTGTGTGATAATGTAAACTGGCTTTCATTAATGACTTGAAATGCACTCAGTGTGCAAAAAGAGTGATTAGTGAACAGCATGACGCTTGCGTGATACATTTACCTGGGTTACACTGCTGAAAGTCATGTTTAGCTAAAATAACATCTTTGGAAGTAAACAGTCCTTCAAAATCCTTGTTATTCATCAATAAACACCATACTCTCCAAAGAATTCATTAAAATATTGAGAAATCCAAGATACACGTGCAGAAGGTTAGTTTGTCTGCATTTGAAGTATTGTGGGAAGAAATATCTGACCACATGATTCTTTTTCTCGACAAGAATGATCATAAATATCATCTCAATGAACGTGATGATTCAAATTACACGGCTATTTTCTAGATGTTTTGTATGCGGAAGACTATTAGTAATAATAGAAGATCTTTACAATCAATTGATTCCACGACAAATTCACATCAGTGTACATAATCTACTCGTGTAGGCAGGCAGGCAGGTGATTTTTGCAATTCAAGTTGCATTAAAAGTGAACCAATCATCTCATTGGGATTTTTATGTCGACTTCTCTGACGATCGTCTCACATGACTCTTTCTTCTCAATCTTTTTCAGTCTGTATTGATGGAATTTACGCAAATCAACTTCTGACAGCTAACTGGACTGTCACATGCCCGAAAATCGAACTTTTCAAACGGGGGAACAACTAAAGTTCAAGCTGACAGAGTGTTGATAGTTCTTTTAGTTTGACTGTGTATTTTTTTTTCATATCAGGAACATTTTTGTTAAATATTAGAATTGTCTTTCTAGCATGTAGCTGATCTATTTCCTTGTTAATGTGAAATTTCATTGAATTCCAGTTTCTCTTATCTTCTTTTGAAATGTTATTTAGTAAGACATACTCTTAAAACTGAATCAGTTGTCTTTTTTTTCTGTTATATCATATTTTTATAGATGATGAATGAATTAAATATAAAACATTAGTTGTACTTCTGTCAGTTTTATCCGCTTAATAACATGTATGCAATACACAAACTGGGACTTGTTTATTGAACAAGCTCTCGATAACACAATTAGTAACATAACACATTATCTTAATTTCTGTCTTGATGTTGGTTGTCCAAAAGAGACAATCTTCCTAAAATTCAACCGCTTCTCCTCTTCTCAACTCAAAAAGCTTCGCCGTGAAAAACAGAGGTTGTACAAAATGAAAAATAAATCTGGTGTTAAGAGAATGAACACTTTGATTAAAGCCGAATTACAAAGACTAAGTGCTCTCTATAACCAGAAGTTTCTTTCATGTAAATCCTCATCTAATATGTGGAAGCTATTAAAGGAAATCACAGGTGGTAAGCAAATAATGAATGATACTTCTGTTGATGTTGATATGCTTAATAAATCCTTCATATGTATCCCTGCAGATGTTATGACTCCCGTAGTGTCTCCGACCGCGCTCTGGTCTGATCTGATCTGGTGTCTGGTGAAGGTATCCCTTGTAGTTTTGTCCATCAGCTCAGCTTCTGTGTGTTGAACTTGAATTGTCGTCTGTCTGCAGTGGTTCTGGAGGTTTTCAGCTTGACGTTGAGGGTTGTTTGAGCTAGATGATGGTGTGAGCCCACATCTTCTCCGCTTCTCGAATTCGTGTCCAGCAGACTATCTGCATCTCCACTTCCTTGAACAGCATTGAGATGAAATCTATCCGGTTTTAGGTGTGTTCGTCAGGTGAAGTTCATGTCACTGACCTTGTGTGTATTCTTGTGTGCTTATACACGCTGTCTCAAAACACCAAATCATTGAAGGCATCTCTGTTATCATTCATTTCGCTGAACGAGAGCCTCTTGACTAATGAAGAGTTCTCTTGCAGTGTTTTCTGCTCTCAGTTTGACTTGCATTCGTATAGCCGATAAGGATTTTGATATCGCCATTGGGGATGTTGTCTAGTGCTGTTTGAAGTTGTCTGTGGAAGTTTTCCTTCTTCTCTTCCTCCGCGTTGTTTGTAGCACTTTGTGTAGCATTGGATGATTGTAACCTTCCTTCTTTCCTTCATTCCGTCTTTCTAAGTTGCATCTTGTTGGCATAATCCTGCAGCGAGAGATTAGTTCTCACTGCATTAAGACACTTGGTTGCCAGTGGTGATATCATTATAGCCACAAACATATACTACTTATGAATGATAAGTAGTACAAAGTTAAACATGAAAGAAGCAGTATCAAAGGACAATGAAGAAGAATATGTTTCCTTAACTTACATTCTAAAAAGATGCAATTTACATTTAACAATTATGTATCCATCTGTCGGAAATAATAATTCTTTCAAAATGACTTATCCGCTATGCATTAAATGTTGCAACCTAATGCCATTTGTTTAACTGTGCAGGAATTATCAATCTTCCTTGTCATATAACCTCCAGCTTAATCGTTCAAAATAGAAGAAGGAAACAATTCCACTGCATTCCATTATCTCTTATTCAACACTCTTCTAGGATCTAATAACACTGATACATAAATTTTCATGCCTGTCTGAAGTTTTAACTAAGGTGTAGTTGAATCTCGTTCTATAATCAAGGAGAATCATCGTGCTCGAATCTCTTTTAAACGGGTGCAGTGTGAGAGTTGGTTAGTCAGGCAAACCATAGATGAACTCTTCACCTCCCTGTGTTCATTCATTTCGTTTTGAGATCTGAATGTTTTGTTGACTTTTCACTTTGAATACTGCTGTTCATACTGATGTATTACTATTATTTTTTTAATAATAATAATAGCTTTATTCCAAACAGTATTTGTGGTACAGGTATGGAATTTTCAGCGTGCATTACAATATTGCGTCTAATTACCTCATAAATTTTATAAGATTTTAAAAATAAAAAGCAACAACCGAAAAGAAATAAAAAGAACAGCATTGCGTTTACATTTTTAACATTGCACCACAGGATATGAAATATAAAATTAGTGTGTAATAGAATATGTGAGCAACAATATAATAGTAACAAAGAAAGGAGAACAAAAGCTAATGGGAACTATTTGTTAGAGTGCCGCAGTAAGTTGATCGTGTCATACCTAACGGATTTCTCATCACATAACAGCTGTGCCAGATAAGGTATTGTGGAGTTTTTGTACTTGGTAGTCCTGGCATATAGCCTCCTATAGTTGCTTCTAGTTCTACCAGATGAAATGCAAGGAGAGAGCTGCGTATAGAGAGGGTGTTCGGGGTCTGACAATATAGAATTCGCTAGTTTCTTACATGACATTATATGTTTATCCACAATGGTGTTAACCAGTTGGTTTATCGAAATCCCACTTCCCCTACTAACAGCTTTTAGTGCCCTACGCAGCAAAGCAAAGTCTTTCTTAAGTAGTCCAGGAAAGATTAATGGGGAGCAGTAAAGAGGGATGGTTAGAATACAAGAGTTGACAAACTGAGAAAGTAAAGACTGTTTTATACCAGACTGCCTTAACTTCCTAACGTAGAACGTTAAGCGAAACATCTTTCTAGTCACTAGCAAGATGTGAGAGGACCAGGAAAGATCGGAGGAAATACTCAGTCCAAGGTACTTGACATTAGATGTAGTTTCAACCTCTATGCCGTCAATGATAGTGGGACCATGTGAGCTAGCTAGTTTCTGTAGTTCACATTTTCGTCTGAAAGTGAAATTTACTACCTGACATTTAGACGGATTCAGCTTGAGACCGTTTGAAGAGGACCACTGACTAATTTCCAAGAGAAAGTTGTTTAATTTGGAACAGTCTGACAGAGAGTTGACAGGCATGGAGACAGAGAGGTCATCAGCATACTTGACAAAAGTGGCTACATCAGAATGGGGCAAGTCATATAGGAAAAAAGAAGACAGAAAAGGCGAAAGAACAGCACCTTGAGGAACACCAGCTAAAGTAAGTGAGGTAGTGGAGGACTTTACATTGTAGACGGTGTACTGCTTCCTATCAGAAAAATAGGAATGCAACCACTTATTTGTCCAGCTCTCACTCTGTGTTGCAGCAAGCTTACTTAACAAGAGAGACCTAGGTACAGAGTCAAATGCAGATGTGTAATCAAGGAAGGCACACCGAACATATTTGGCTCCTCTATCTAAAGTAGAGACTATATTATGGTATAGAACAACAGCGGCATCTAAGGTACACCTACTATGTTTATAAGCAAACTGGTTGGGGTCATTGAAAGGCTTTAAAGAGGGTTCAGGATTAAGTAAAATAAGTCTTTCCATAACTTTAAAAAAAGGTGAGGTAATAGCAATCGGTCGAAACTTAACAGTAGGTCCACTTGTTGATTTAGGCACTGGAACAACCTTGATATTTTTCCATGAGTCAGGAATAATACTTTTGGAAAAAGATTCATTAAAAATGTCGGTTAATGGGTAACATAAGATGTCAGCACACTTCTTAAGGATAACAGCAGAAATTCCATCAAGACCAAGGGACTGAACAAGACTAGGAATGACTCTCCACGAACACCTATCTGGAAGCTAATAGTAGGTAGGAGAGGAGGATAGTGAAGTAGAAAATGACTGAATGTAAAGATGGCGAACAGCAGGAGAAGCTAATTTCAATGCACATCACACTGAATAAAGAAGTTAAAAAGATCACGAGGAAAGAGAAAAGACAATTCTGCAACACAATGGCCGACAACTATATGAGAACAGGCAGGCATGTAGGCAGGTGGCAGGTAAAAGAGACCTCAGAATATTACATCAGAAAACTAGGTCTCTATCCAGGAAGAGATCAACCCAGATGATGAAACCAAAAAAAGATGTTTGGGGGAATCTGATTACCAAGTGGGGAGGGAGACAAATAAAGACATGGGCTGATCACTTCAAACGACTCTTGAATCGACCATCATCTGCAACTCGCCCTGACATACCACCACTGACAGTTTCAGACTTTTGTTAACACCTGCCTTCGCTGGCTCCATACTGAAGATCAAAAATGGCCGGTTGGCCAGAAAGAATTAGCAACAAGAAACTTAGGCAACAAACCAACCAAGAGCCGATCGCGCAAATATGTAGGAGAGAATGGAGATGGATCGGGTATACGTTGAGGGGTCGTCGAATAACATCGCGGACAATGTAGGCCATCACTAGAGTGGAATCCCAATGGGGAACGACCAGTTGGTCGTCTGAAGGTGATATGGAGGATATCGTGAGAAGAGGAGATGAGAGATTATGAGCAATCGTGGACACAGCCGAAGAGGACAGCAGAAAGTAGAAGCAGAAGCCCAAGAGAACAATAATAGTGATAAAACGTTTGTGTTTTTTTTATTGCGTCGTTACTTTGCATTCATAATTATTCATTTCCATTGGACTCTATCGTATTTATTAATATGAACATCCTAGTTTCTCTGCACTTATCATCTTCCGGTTTTTCAACTGTATCCGATGTAGATGTTTTGCTTTATGATCCTGTCTATCTGTCGCTCTCGCTCTCTCTTAAATCCTATTCATTCTAATACCTTTCTCCTTGTTCCTTTGAATTATTATTAGCACCAGTAGTGAAGTCTTCAAATTCCATAGAATGTTGACTTTATAGTAAATATACCCAAGTGAGAATAAACTGTTGTGCCCACTCCATTCATCAGTATGCATTGTGGATCCTAGCTTCACCAACCTGGTAATTATAGGGATTAAAATTGATGATTTCCAGTCAGGTTTCATTTCGTTCAATAAATCCCTTTCGTAAAGTTGTATAATATAATATAAGCACTTAGACGTAATTTGCTCTTTTTCTGACCTCGATTATATTTCCGTTTTA